ATGCACTGTGCATTAAAACTTATCTAACGCACATTTTCGAATGCAAAATTATATAAATGCAAGAGATGCACACCGAATGAGGGATCATGCGAATGCAAAATCCTACTAATGTAAGAGATGCAAAATCATACGCGCATTTGACCTTTTCGTGAACAAGACTAAGTATGATGTGGTTTTGATGCAAAATCCTACGAATGCAAGAGATGGTGTTTATTTCCACCAAACCCTTTATGGTCAGCTCACAGTTCGTCAGTTGAAGACCCTTCTGGACACTTTGAGCGTGCTTCTCAGTCGGCATCTCGGAAGAAGAAGGTGCCATGGAGATCTTTCTACTAAGCTTCCTTTACTGCTCTTGGCATGTGTATTGTTGTGAATTGTGTGAGTTTCCTCTTTGTTATTCCTTATTGTGTGAGTTGGTGTGTTGTTTGATTTTGTTCTCTGTAAAAATGGGTGATTGTGAGTTGGTGTTTGTCCCAGTGGTGTTGAATTATGTGTATTGTTTGTGTAAGATGGTCTGGTATCTTTGTGTGTCCTTGTGTGTATCTGCAGAGGATTTCAGAGTCAGTTTGAACTTCGAATGTGTGATACCCATTTCTGTGATTTTTTGTTATACCTAATAGCAAGTAGCACAAATATTTTATACTATGTTGGGGTATGTGCAAAGTTTCAATCTAAATCTCAGGAAAGTCATCTCACAGCAACCAAGAAAATCCTCAGATATATCAAAGACAATTAGAATGGTGAGCTTTAGTACCCTGCTGAAGGACAATTTGAACTTATTGGCTACTTAGACTCAAACTTTGTTGGATGTAGGATTGATAGATTGCTGGAAAAAGATTAGTAACATGATTAGCAGAACTTTATAGTTACTAGCCTTGTTGAAGCATAATACATAGCAGCAAGCAGCTACTATGCACATATTTTATGCCTGAAACAGCAGCTTAGAGATTATGAAATGCAAGCAAGACATGTGAACAATATGTGAACACAAATGCTCTTGCCATTATTCAAAACCTTCTGTTAACCAAACACATTGACACCCGACATCACTTAATAAGAGAGTATCATAATAAGGAGAACTTCAAATCAGGCTGTCTACCCAATATCAACTAGCTAGCTGACATTTTCACCAAAGCTCTTTGTGAAGCAAGATTTTATTCATTGAGACAAGAGCTAGATAGCTTGATATGCTGGACAATATTGACAATAATGGACAACAAGCTAGTCTAACATAAGACTAACTATTGAGGGAAACCCCAAGAGCTATCACGGGAAAACAAGAAAAAAGGAACCCAAAATAAGAGGGTAAGCCGCAAACTCATTAGCAGAGTCATCAGGGATGTGCAAATACAAATGTCATAAATCCTAGTTTTTCATTAAAATCAAATCATATGTAGAGAGAAAGGTGATTATTTTAAAGATAGAAAAAATTATCAAATCACAAAACGGGGATAAAAGTGAAGGGTAGAAGGGTTAATGTTCAAATGATGAAAGCGCAACTTGTTCAGCTGACTCAGTATGGTCAGACCAGCAAACTCATACAAATGAAATGGTCCCCACTAATAAATTGGCAAGTAAATTACGTAAAATCTCTTACTATTTTTGTCACATAACTCTCTTTCCGATTCAATCCTTCACATAGACTGAACACGCTTCTTGTCATTAACTAACACGTCCATCTCGTTATTCCAACTGTTACTTTTTTTTTTGCTCTCACATTCACTTATATATACATCCTAATACCTATCAAAACCCAACCTGATTTATATTTTTGCTCTCTCTCTCTCTTAAAGCTAATACTCTCACTCTCACCACCCTTGACCGAAATTTCTCATCTTCACTTTTCCAAAACACCAGATCATAAACGAAAACCTCACAAGTACTACCATATTCATGAGTAAGCTGCAGCCATCATAAAAGACACCCATGTGCAACTCGTGACACTCTTGACATTATCTCCGCACAAATATGGCTTCAGCCAAGGGGCCAGGTATGCAACCTTTTTCCTGTTTTTGTGGTCAAATTATACTTTTTTCCAAGGAACCACCATAACGATGGGGTAAATGTCGGGGAATATTTACCTATTTTATTAAAATCTCAAAGGGGAAATACAATACAGTGAATGAAAGAGAACAACATATAATGAGATGGGGAGAGTATCGGGCCAAAAAGAAACAGAATAGAAATTAAAAACAATATAGAGCTAAAGCTTGTGGGGTAGATGCGTCCAAGAAGGCCCAGAGAATATTTGGTTCCAACATAATACCGGCAGAGGGGCCTTGTCGTTCAAAAGCTAGGGTTTCCAGAGATTTCTTTAGAGAGAGAACCAAGCATGGTAGCATCGTCTTCCGCTAAGTCTGCTAAGCCAGGGAGGTTCATCTGGTGTCGCGAAAGGAGACCCCGTTTTTGTCATCAAAATATGTTTTCCTGGCTTTTGAAGGGAGTTGGCTTAGAGAGAGTGATGTCGTCTGATGGAGTATATGATCCAGGACCCCCTGGCCCACATACTCATGCAATCCAGACATTCAGTTGAAGCCCTCGGCAGCACCCCTCGGTGGTACCCCTCGGCAGCACCCCTCGGCCATGAGGCCCTTGACACCTCTTGGCGGCACCCCCGGCACCCCTCGGCCATAATGCCCGCACTTCATAACGCCACTAGACATATTAGGTTTTGTGCAGCCCATTAGTCCCCTTTTATGTAATTGGGCCTGCTAGGCTCAGCCTAGCAGCCTAAGCCCACATACTCCTACTACCACGAAACAGGCCCAACAAGCCCAGGCGGCCCATATGTCACGGCACAAGCTCCATGAAGTCCATAATACCTGATATGTACCTTCGGCACCCTTGTCGAAGGCCTGAAACTCACGGGGACAACTGCTCTTGGACCAACATCGCTACTGGAGAATTCGGGCTCAAATATATAGCCTTCGACAGGGAGGCCTTCGGCCATCACGTCGAAGGGTCACCCCTCAGCAAAGATTCCCCGCTGGAGACACGCAACCACCGCATTGAATGCGGTGTCACGTCCAGCCACCGCATTGAATGCGGTGTCCCGTCCAACACCGCATTTAATGTGGTGCCACATGCAGTGCCGACGCCAGCGCGGCTGGAGTGACCTTCCACCATTGATTAGTTGACACGTGTACTCGCATTTAATGCGCCTAACGCTTGTGGCTGCTATAAATAGCGCCTCCTTTTCCTCTGTAACACACATCGAGTTCATTTAATACAATTTGACTCTCTCTCTTACTTGTTGCTCCGACTTTTCTCTAGATATCCCCCGTGGTATCCCTCGGATAAGCTACCCCCGGGTACACTATCCATCACCGCCGTACATAGGCGAAGCCCAAACTGCGCGAGATGATGACCACAGGAGTTCATTTCAGGGCTGGATTCGGGCCGGGTTGGGTCTGGGCCAGGCCTAGGCCCGGGCGGGCCGCCGGTTCTGAATAGGTGGTCCCAGGACGAGCCCGGGTAGCCACCGGGTCCGGTCCGGGTCGGGCCTCGGGTCAATTTTTTTCTCCTTTTCCTAATTAACCCCTCCACCCCAAACCACCCCAAATTATGGGTGGACCGGTTCCGGTTCGGGCCCGACCGGGCCTTGGTTCAGAAATGGGAGGCCCGGAACCGGCTCGGGTAATCCCGGGTCCGGGCCGGGTCCGGGCCGGGCCGGGCCTCGGTTTTTTTTTTTTTTTTTTTTTTTTTGGCTTTTCCTAATTAACCCCCAACCCTCCCCCCTCACCCCCAAACCACCTCAAATGGCCCAAAATACCAAGCCCAACCCAAAAACTTAAAAAAAATTCAAAAAAAAAAATTAATTTGGCCCGAACTGGCCGGGCCGGGCCGGTTCAAACAGTAACCGGGCCGGGCCGGGCCGCCCGGCCCGAGTCCATCCCTACCCCAAATGGCCCAAAATACTCAGCCCAACCCGAAAAGTTAAAAAAATTGAAAAAAAAAAATTAAAAAGCCCGGAATCAGGCCCGAACCGGCCGGGCCAGTTCGGCTTTTGGGTGACCCGAGCCCGCACCGGGAACCCCCCGGACCGGTCATTGGCCGGGCCACCGGGCTGGGCCGGTTCAGCACAGTACCAGTCCCAGGCCGGTTCCGGGTCGGGCAACCCGGCCCGAGTCCAGGACTATCTTGGACGATGACGGAAAGAAACTGCGTTTGCTAGTTTCATGACATGGAGCCCTGTCAGCATCAGAGTCAGATACCCAAGTACAATTAGGGGTGGCCCGGTTCCGGTCTGACCGGCCCAGGAACCGGACCGCCGCACTATGCAGGACCGGACCGGCCCGGTGAACCGGGACTGGTTCCGAACCTAGGACCGACCCGGGGGGATTGTTGGGGCAGTTTCGGGCCTTTACCAACAAACAAAAAGCCCGGTTAGGACCGACCCGGAACCGGTCCATGCCTAAGTACAGTTGAAAACCCTAGAATCATTTTTATGCATTTTTCGGGATCAGACTGTACATTTTTTTATGAACTGTAAGTATATATTAGGAACCATCCAATAAAAAAGGTGAGCAAAAATGCAGGCTATTCAAAGCTTGGATAACCCATCACCTCAAAACGAAAACTATCTAACCTAGTTGATCTAGATCAAAGCCGATGACAGCACCAAAAACAAGATGATGAATCTTGTGGAACCTTCTTTGTGGTCAAATTATACATTTGTACCATGTTTTGCAATTGATTTTATCCTTATAACACTAATTTATACTCCCTCTGGTTTTTAATAAACTTCACACTTTCCTTTTTGGGACGGTCTAAAATAAACTTCACACTTCCTTATTTCCTCTTTTGGAAAAGAAATCTACATCAAAACAGTGTCAAACAGTGCCAAACAGTGTCTCAACAGTGCCAAACAGTGTCTCAACAGTGCCAAACAGTGTCAAACAGTGTACTCTACAGTAAAGTCAAATTTCTTTCTATATTTTGTGTAAAGTCAAAGTGTGAAGTTTAATAAAAACCGGAGGGAGTATGTAAGTGTTGTAATCCCGCAACATAAGGGTGGAACCGTGGAAATACTAGTTTTCTCGAAAAGAAATACATCAAGGTGAATCTCATTAAGCCAAATGAGTCTGAAGGCTGAAGCTACTTATTCTTACATAAGTAGAATGCACTACTTTTAACTACGTCAAAATCGCAAAGGGGTGAGTCGGTGACCCCTTTATTTCACTACAAAACAATAAAAATTTAAGAAAGAAATGAGAGGCAATGCATAGTTTTTTTGGTCCAACTAAAATAAGGCAATGCATAGGTTTGTATTGGTTAGTTGTTTCTCTATCTTGTACAGACCCTTAAACTTTGATGTATGCAAGGAACCAGTTTCCCCGTCGGCAAAAGATCATTTCACCGTTCCAATATTTGATCAACCAGTACTTTGGGTAACTGTTTTGTTGCCTGCGAACAATTATTCAGAATTGAGAGAATTATACATGATGATCTAAGGTAACAGATACTCCATCAAACAAACGACAACATAGTCCGGTTTCAAAACCTGTTCATGTCCTTCCCAAAAAGGATCTGGTTTTAAAAGGCAATTTCATTTTTAGAGTTAAATTCCTGTAAACTAAACTGACGACACAGTAAGTTGCTCTCAACAATCTTGGAATTAAGATTTAGGAGTATATAAGTGAGTATTCATAATTTGCAAGGATTTTCACCTTGGATAGAGTTGACTAAAATAAAAAGTTGTAGCTTATACAAACAAGACTTTTTTAATGGGGAAGTAAATGACTGATGTTGAGTTGATACTAAAGTACAGAGAGACTGTTTCCGGATTACCTAAAGTGAAAATCACGTCGAAAATTGCATAGACTGACTACTGCTTCATAACAAAGAAGCGCAAATAGTTTAGTGAGCCATTTTGCTTTATTCCATCATATTCCCAAACCAAAAAATAGTGAGTCTTTGGCTCCATTGCAAATAATGGAGCAAGTTCAAGTTAAAAAATTTCTAAAAATAAAAATAATCACTTCACCAAGGTTGTTAGGATCGCGAGGTAACTCGTAAGATCGTACGAGTTTGCGATTTGGAGAGGGGGAATCGAGTCAGATCGCTCCAAAGATCGGAAATTGCACTGGGATCGGCAGATCGTCGAGTAGGATCGTAAAACGTACGACTCGTCGATCTAAAACGAGCTGCGACCCATCGGTTCAAAAACGGGAAAAGAAGGGCGCCGTTGAAGTCTGAAACGACGACTTTGAAAAAAAATGAAATATAGCGTCTTTTTCTTCAGTCCTCATCTCTTCTCTGTTCTCTGTTCTCTCTATTTTGTCCGCTTATTGTTAAACTCTCTGTGTCGTCCGCTTATTCTTCATCTTTCTGTGTCGCTAGCTTTACCAAAATATTTCGCTTATACTCCACTTTACTAAAGGAGAAAAAAGGGAGGAGGGGGGGGGGGGGGGGGTTATTAGTGACTCTGACTTCTGAAGTTCTGATAGCATAAGTATGGCAAGTGGGTCAATAGCATAGAGAACCGAAGTTGGCTGGGAGCATGGTATATCCATGAGTGAAGATAACAGAACAATAAAGTTTTGAAAATGTCTTTTTTAATTTATCGTAAGTTTGTGATTCTAAGTGTTTTAAACTTTTAATTCAAAAATGACATTATGTTATTCATATTTCAAAAGTTTTAAGTTTAAATACACACACACACATATATATATATATATATATGCATGGTATCTTTGCTTTTACGATCTTACGATCCGAGTTACGATCCACGAGTTACGATCTCCTCTTCCCCTCCCGATCCGAGCTAGGATCTCGAGTTTAACAACCTTGCACTTCACCCACTTTCCCTCCAAAGCCGTTCAATACCCAAGTCCCCCAACACAGCCTTAAGGAGATCGTGATGCCAAAGGCTTGAAAATTGGAATAGAAATATAAAAAAAAAATGTTGATGAACCTGAAAGTGTCTCATGTGAAGTATTGGCTCACAGCCTAAATCTGCAATTAGTTTCCCTTTTGCCGTTAGCGAACTGAAGCGCTGGGCTTCATACACTGAAAGTTTATCTTTGTCACCTGGCAGACCATGGGCAACTTTAAGGAGAGAACTCAAAGTATTCATCTGTCACGAGAAGACACATAAAAACAGAGAAATTAAGAGATGATAAACCAGCACAACCTAATTGAGAATTTGAGATATTTTACCCACTTGATAATAGTTACTTAGATGAAATTACTGAATCTACAGAATTTTTTGAAAGGAAACGTATCACAAAAATCCATTTCTGATAAATGACACGAGCTACTTATTCTGGTTATTTTGTTGAGTAGCAGAATTATGATTACTAAATAGAGCCTCAAAATTACTTGTCATAATCTAAAACGAGTTAAACGACACCTCACTACAACTCTACAAGTGAGGTAATGATCTGATGGGTTTTGAGAAAACAGACAAACTTTCATTATCAGTGAAAAAATTGATGAATGTTTGGAATTAACAGATTCAATCTCACTAAAAGCACATTCAGAATAGTTCACAATCCTTATTACTGATCATTGTTCATTACGACTTTCCCATCATCAAAACAGATTTAAGTATGGCACATGAAAAATCCCCATCGGTATAACTGTATAAGGCCACCCATTTATAAAATGCAGCCAAACCAAACTCGGTAATAACATGCACGGTATTTGGAAATATAATCCAGGTCAAAGAAAACATAAAAAGTTGCAAGAACCGTTATTTGGAAATCTTTCTTTCAGGACATATTCAGTGTTTTTAACTTTTAAGTTCCAAAAAACACATGGGTGTGAACGCTGGGCCTCCATTACACCACGTGGAGACCACCCACCACTTATGCCATGCGGCCAGGCCCGCCCATTAAAGAAATGAAATCAGAACCATTGGAATAACAGTACAATTCATGCATGATCGCATCAATGGGGGGTTGTTACAGATTCATAGGGTCCACTTGGAATGGAAAGAAATTAAAAAAAAAAAAAGGCAGCCTGGTGGACATTAGTGTCTCCGCACGGCGAGGGTCCACAGAAGGGTAAGAAGGGTGTACAAGGAGAAAACCTTCCCTTGTCATTTTGATAAAAGGTTGCTTCCAAGACTTGAACCTGTGATCTCTCGGTCACATATCAACACAGTAACCAGTGTGCCGAGTCATTGGCTTTAAAATCATTTCTAGATATTTGCTCAAACTCGTTTTATATATAAATTTCTACTATATAATATAGACCAAGAAATCATGACATATACTTCCTCCGTTCTTTTTATGGTTAAACACTTCAATTTTCATGTTTGTGAACAAACAACTTTGAACATCAATATATTTAATTCGCTATTAGTTAATATTAGTTACAAATATAAAAGTTCAGATTTTGAAATTTTAAAATGAGAAGCATTTAGCAACATTGTTAAAAAAAATCTAATATATTAATAAACAAAATGTAGTCGAAGTAGTGCATATGAATAGAGTAAAACTAAACATGTTGCAAATATTTAAGAACGGGTGTAACATAAGATTTGAAGAGTTTTAATAACATTTAATTCTACTTGGAGCTTTACAAATTAAAGCCAAAGTCTGAGGAACGTTAAAAAGCTATTTTCCTGGGCATCTTTTTTCCTTCCCTGTCATTTTTCTCGCTTCAAACATAGCCGAAGTATAAACGGACGGTGAACTGTGCCAAAAAAAAATGAGACAAAAAGAATCTAACCTTCATGTATGGACAAGAAGCACATCCACCATGAATAGAACACCCCTCTCCAGTCGTAACTCCAGGTATAACAGGTGCCTTCGTTAAGAAATCGCCTACTTCACCTAAAGAGAGGTCCTGAGATGAAACATCTGGCGTTTTCATCACTGCTTCAGAAGATACAGGAAATACAATCTCAACACTAACTTTCGGGCATCCGTCAGTAGAGTTCACCAACCCTAATATTTTACTGACTGATGCCACTATAGAAGTAACCATTCCTGATTCAGTTCCTAAAACAAATTGAAGATGTTCATCAACGTCTCTATCCATAGCCTCTTGTACTCTTTGTGATATGAAATCCAATATATTCTTGGTTGAGCCAACTACTCCCATCCCTCTCTCTTTAGCGCCCATTGCTAGTGAAAACATTTCACTGGGAACTTCAAAATGGGCAGTGAGGAATGCATCACAATACATTTCGTTTATCTTCTCCACAACTTCATGACCAAAGAGGTGATGCACAATACATGTTCCACCCTGGCACAGACAAAACATATAGGTGGGAAAAGAGATTGATCACATATGCCTACTAACAATTAACTTTAGGGTACAAAAGATCAAAGAATCTGTTATTCATGTTAGTTATGCCTCATCCTTCTCATATTTTACATGTAAACTTTTGATATTCTTAGAGTTCTTCCGTGAAACTTTCCATACAAGTACAAATAATATATGATGATAGCAGTCTTGGAATATCATCCTATTCCCTTGTAAGGAGGTTGTGCACAAGGCACCTTGTGTAAAACTTTGTCATAATGTATTTCACATGGACTTCCAGAGTTGACTGTTGAGATCTGAGCTCAATTCTAAAAAAATAAAAAAGAGCAGCAGGGTCCTATATATTACTCCCTCCATCCCTAATTGATTTACAAAGTCAACATTTTTTATCAGCCAATTTCATCATCATCATCATCATTTTCATTTACCCCAGTGCCACAAAGGCTCCCACCTACGGTGGGGTAAGGGGGGTCGGATGTACGCAGTCTTACCCCTGTACTAAAGCACAGAGAGACTGTTTCCGGATGACCCATCGTGAAAATCGCGTCCAAAACTGCATGGACTGACTACTGCTTCATAACAAAGAAGCGTAGACAGATTAGTGATCCATTTTGCTTTATTCCATCACATTCTCAAGCCATTTTTTATCAGCCAATGTTAATGTTAAATCCTCCCTATTGATATTTAATTCAATTTTTAATAATTAAAATTACATATTCAGAAACTACATTAAAATCTCTATAAAGTTGCAAACTTCAAATTAGAATATAATTAATAATTGATAATACTAGTTATTTGAACAAAATGGACTTGTTTGACCAAAAAAAGTTGACTATGCAAATCAATTTGAGATGAAGGTAGTCGTTTTTATTACTACGTATTTTATACTAAATTGGTGTAAGACAATTATATCAACACGCTCTTCAGCCTTAACCGATTTGGATAACTTCAGGGGTTTTTTTTGGGAAAACAAAGCTTCTATTGATGAAAAGAGAAGGTTACAAAGCAGGAAATAAAGAAGAAGAAAAAAAGAAATATGAAAAGGAAGAGTAAACAAACAAATTAAACTATGCCCATGGAAATTTTTTGGATTGCGATCTAGTCTTCATGCTATGACGCCGTTTATTCTTTTGAGTTTTACGGTAGATTTTGAGTTGTGTATTCAGATTCTATGTTGGCAAGCTAATGTCCTGGTGTGACAAATTGAGATATATAGCAAATTCCTCTGTTGAATTTGGAATCCCGGATGTCGTCCTGATTTGAGATAGGTAGTCGGCGGTCACTTTCAGTTGCATGAATCATCTGATGGGTCAAAACTGTCAGAGGCGTCCGAGAAAGCCTCAATCTATGATTTTCTAGGGTGTTTTTCTGAAGATATGATCTGTAGTTCCTTGGCGAAGGCTTCCCCTATTTCTAAATTAAAAATTGCTTTAGATAGCGATGTAGAATTCTCAGCGTCTGTTGTGTTCCGGTGTACTAAAACAGTCGGATCCTCCTGCACGAGATTATTCAGACCTACAAAATGAGATAAGATGTTCAAAAATGCAACAAGACTTGACCGTTTTCGACCCATAGGAGTAAGGATGAAATTTCCTTTTCTCTTAGCAATTTTTAAAAATCTGCCAAATTTGTTGAGCTCGGAAGAAAGTGTGATGCTTCCAATTCTGCTTTGTTGCTTGTAATTAATATCTGCACTTGTGAGCTGTGAGATAAATCGAAGAATTTGAAAAATATCCTATGCAGCCTGGATCTTTGATTTCAAAAATGGTAGCTTCATCAGATATGACTGCAAATTTGAAAGTTTTCAATTCAATTTGAATTGAATCAAACCCTTCTTCTCCAAAAAAATTGAATTTTTCTGAAACCTGAGTTGGCTCGGCCAAAATAAGAACTACGTCTGTGCACCATGTATCCTCTTGTGGCTTAATTAAGTCCACATCTTTCTTTTGGTGAAGGTGAGTAGTAGTCTGATCTGAAGGGGTCCCAGTGTCCATGCCTGATTTTAAAAGATCTGCCCATGTGAGAAACTTGGGAGTTTCTTTCCGTTGCAGGCTTCCAGGGTGTCCGTGACCTACTCCTTCTCCTTGCGTGTGTTGCCCCACCACTAAAGCTTGAGAGTCAACATTGTCCCTTCCAGCCAAACTTTCTGGCGCAGAGACTGCCGGGCTTTGCCTCTCGATGCCGCCGGCCTCCGAAGCTCAATTTTTGGTCCGGCGAAAATGGCTGTACCTACCGGAGACGTTTTGTTCAGTAATAGGGAATCTGCGATTGCCATTTTCTCTGTAACTTTGGGAATAGTTGAGGTAGGGGATTTCCCTTTCTTGTTTAGGCGCTTGGGTGAGTAGAGGGAAAGACGTAGGTTCATCTTCCAAATGGAAAAGGTGATAGTGATTATACTTACCAATTGACCAGTCGGGTTCGTTCAAAGGTCGCTGTATGCGATGTTGATTGAAACGGCAGCGTCTGTTGTGGACTGTGCACCAAGGCTCCTCTGGGTCTTCCGTATAGATTCTGAAGGGTGTGTTGGTTCGCTGGTTGGTGTGTTGCAGATGATGGTGATGAAGGCGTCGACCATATTGATTCCCAACTGGTCGTTCCATCGGTCTAAATTCTTGGTAAAATTCCTGATTGGAATAGAGCGAATTTGGGCAGTAATCATAATTGGGACGAAACCTTGTGCCAGCTGCTCTGTCTCTGAAGGAGCCGCATTCATAAAATCTTGCCGGAGATGAAGAAGGCCATCGTTGGTGACGAAGGTGATAAGGCGGTAGAGGGTTTCTGCCGCGGTACTTGGTGATGTAGCATGGGTGACTGCTATAAGAGTTGAATCAAAATTCATTTAGGCGTTGTTGAGGATTCCGGTGTGAATCTTGCCAGAGATGCATTTCCAGTCATTCAGATTTTGCCGGATTTTTAGTGAGATGTGAGAGTTTCTCTCCATTGGACAAAAGACGATATATAACTTCAGGGGATAAATGGTTCAAATAAACCCTAATCGGGCTATCATAAGTCATTCATATAAAATACCAAAACACAGTATCATACTAAGATCTACATTCCATCCTATAAAGTTAATTGATATGAAGAGTATCTCAACATCTTATATGTTGGTTTGCTATTTCATACTTAGTCAGTAAGACCATTTCTTAACACTCCTCATGAAAAGATATTTAGGCTTTGTTTGCAAGTGCTTGCGCTTAAATAAAAGCACTTTTTGGGAAAAAGTGATTAGTAGTAAAAGTTGGTAGTGTTTGGTAAAATAAGTGCTTTTTGTTAATAGAAAAAGTAAAAAGTAGATTCTACACGAAAACCGAGAAAGTAAAAGTTGGTAGTGTTTGGTAAAATAAGTGCTTTTTTCTTAGAAAAAAGCCACAATCACTTAAATTAAGGGGTTGCAAACAGAGCCTTAGTCTTCATTGTATATTATTGATTTCTTTTTCATCGGTTTCATTGTTAGTGTTGATAGTTCATCTTTGATTTTTTATGATCGTCTTCCTTTTTTCATAAGTGGTCCACATCATAGATCGCATTAGCTAAGATTTTGAGCTTCATCTTAATAATACATTTTTAGATGAAACCCCAAAAGCTTAATATGGTATCAAAGTCAACCCCAAATCTCAACTAAGGGTATATATTCCATGCCATCAACCCCAGCCCATACATAATTGGGATTACAATGATAATGATGAGGATGAATATGACATATTCATTCCCCGGACCAAGTGAATTACGTAATATTGCGTAATATTTGACTGGCATCCCAAAATCTAAGTGCAGCTGCATTTTGCATGCACATTTAAAAAAAGGATATTTGGTGTGTTTCAATTTTACCCCTATCGGAATGGGTAAATATAACAAGTTGTGCATATTGTTCAAAATGCCAAATCATGAAAACGTAAAAATATAGAGTCAATGGGATCGGAAAAGTAGTGTTTAAATAGTTGTAGGACTTGATAAAAAATAATGTCGGATTTGAAAATGGTACTGGGAGAGTAAATTATTACTTCTTTCGTCCCACATTGCAAAATGCACTTTTCTTTTTGGATTGTCCCAAAAATATGAACACTTTCTTAAACTTGATTTCACTAACTTTTTACTTACCTACTTTATACTTTTATCTATCAATTCACCCTTTACGTTTTGCGGATCCATTTTTTCTTTCTTACTTTTTGGAGGTTTAAATTATAAAACAACCACTTTATCCTTTATTTCTTAAAACCCACACTAAATCCACATACATCTTACATTATGGGACAAAGTGATAGGTAACGGAAGAATCCCAGTCGATAAGAGTAGTATATTAATGATGATTTAAGGTTGGAATACAGAAAATAAAGTAAGAAAAGGTTGAGACTCTTCGAGTGGCCTCTCACTCCCAATTTCCCAGTCCCAATCCCAAAATCTGCCTGCCTATCTCCTCACCCCCTCTCCCTTATTTATGCTATTTCTAATGGGCCAGCCCACTTCTATTAAGTTATAAGGCCTAAACCTTCTATTATTGAGAATAATAAAATTACTTAATATAGGACTCTTATAATTGGTAATGTCACGGTCCTATCATCACTCCCCCCTTTGACAACCACCTTGTCCTCAAGGTAAGGAGTAAGAAAATAGTCATGTTGTTCAGCTTCATTCTCGAACCCCTTCCTTCCCAGTACCTTGCTGACTGCTGAACTAGGATCTTCAGTACTTCATCCTTCAATTTTCCAGGTGTTTCTGCAGCAGAAGACAAGTCTAGTGAAGTTTCATTCTTTATATTAGCCTTCAAGCACTTTTTAACAACAAATGTTTCTTTGCTTTCAAGAGGCTCCTCCGAGGTTCTCTCTTCTGAAACTATCAGTGTGCTGGATGCAAGTTTGATGTTGCTCAACTCATTGTCTGCAAATAGACCCATGCAAACTTCTCCAATTATCATCGATTTTTCTGTAAGGCAGTTTTGGTCACAGTTTATGTTTATAAAACATTCCAAGTTCCCTTGAGTACCTGCAGCAATTCCCTTGACCAAACATACTGCTTTTGTTCTGGTCTTGATATCAAACTTTAGGATTTTTAGTTTGGTATGCGATTTACTGAAAACCTCGGGGGTCAAACTGGCTTGAAACCCACACACAAAAGGCATCCTTGAAATTGACTGGTGATTGTGTACTTCTGTTTCATCCTCTGCATCTTTAATAGCAGGCTTTCCTCCACTCACAACATCCATCCAAGTTACAGGACTTCCATGTGAAGGCACTACCCCAAGTTGGACTTTTGCATATGATTTCCCAGAATAGGTGTAAGCATGGTCCTCTTGTGTTTCTGGACAAGTTCTATTTCGATCATAGTATATGATTCTGAGAAAAGATCTATCAGATAAGTCAACCTTTGGAAACGCTAAATATTTGGTGTGCAGTGACGACCATAACCCGCTCCCTCTGTCCTCCTCCAGGGTTATATATTCAGCAAGATCAAGCACAATTTGATTTCCTGTGGGACCAGATGTTAATTGATGGGAGTTCTTGTCAAGGAGATCCAATACATTAAGCTCACCGTCTCTCCCAAATGCAAATTTGGTCCCGTTAGGTGAAACCTGAATAAGTTTGAACCTATTTCTTTTCAAATCTGACTGGACAAACTCGCGCTGGAAGACAGTTTTAGGCCCAGTGACAACTGATGCTCGCTCCTCACGTACATCGTCCCCATATGTGCGCTCATCTTCAGAGAAAGGTTGTGGCTTATTAACGGACTCCAAATGCAACGGTGCAGCTTGCGACAACACCTGTGAACTGTGAACATCTACTGGTGGCGAAATTGATGAACTGGGAGTAGTTGCTTGCGACTGAGGCCAAACCTGCGAACTATTAGAGTCAGTCTGCGATGACGAATAACCTCTGCATTTCGAATTCTCGCAGCGTCGCACGATTCGCGATCGTCCTCGCCGTCGACGTTTGCCATTCTCAAGGTTTGCGCCCTTCCCCACTTTTCCGCGTGAGGCATTTTGATCGGTTTTTCGATGGGGTTCCTTTCCCTTTCCCTTTTGCGTAGGCACGCGCTTCTCAATTGTCACGTACAAACCAGAGGTGACCACTTTCCGTTCTGACCTTTGATAATCCCTGCGCTGCTCCATTTTTTATTGCGTGACTTAGATCGAAGCTTCCCAGAGCCGACTGCTCTGATACCAATGATAGGTAACGGAAGAATCCCAGTCGATAAGAGTAGTATATTAATGATGATTTAAGGTTGGAATACAGAAAATAAAGTAAGAAAAGGTTGAGACTCTTCGAGTGGCCTCTCACTCCCAATTTCCCAGTCCCAATCCCACTTCTATACAGAAAATCTGCCTGCCTATCTCCTCACCCCCTCTCCCTTATTTATGCTATTTCTAATGGGCCAGCCCACTTCTATTAAGTTATAAGGCCTAAACCTTCTATTATTGAGAATCATAAAATTACTTAATATAGGACTCTTATAATTGGTAATGTCACGGTCCTATCACAAAGGTAGTGGGTTATAGCTATATCTTCTCCCATAAAAAAACTAAAAAAGTTATATCAAAGGGTATTTAGTAAAATATTAGGTTATAACTATATCTATTCCATAAAGGTCCAAATAGACTCTTCTACTATTTCAAACATATCACTTAAGCCCTATACTAAAAAAAGTATCCTAGAAGCAAGCTTATTTAAAAAACAATAAATCCAACCCTAAAATACCAGATCCTTTTTGACAAAATAAATTAAGGAAATTAATAAAAATATTAAACGTTCGTATAATTTTTCAAAATATAGAAACATGCAACAATAATAACAACATCCAAGTCATAGTCCCAAAAGAGTTTGGGGCCAGCTCACAAGAATAGACATGGAATCGGAGTCAAGAATGATAAATAGAGAAAAGGGAGAGAAACAAAAACAGATCAGTCCTCCACACGTATACTCTCTCTCCATTTTTCTCTCTGCAGTCATATTATCATCTAACCCAAGAAGTACCATATCGTTCTTGACTACTCTAGTTCACGTGTGTATGGGTCCTCCTCTCCCCCTCCATGTCTCTTCTCCCCACCTCTCAATTCATCTAATAGGTGCATCATTTAGTTTTCTACACACATGAACAAACCACCACATTCGAGATTCTAACATCTTATCTTCAACATGTGTTACTCATGTTTGTCTGATAGTCTCATTCCTCAGACAATCTTTTCTAGTATGTTCACACATCTAACACACATGCGCATCTCAGCCAAACTCATTATATGAAAATCAAAAGGCCAGTATAAAAATGCAATTCAAAGCAGCTTTTTCATTGTGAACTAAAAATCAAAAAGTGAACTAAAAATCATTTACTGAACACATAGTTGTCATGGCGCATGGCGACCGCCATGGCTCGAAGGCATTTTTCATGGCGCATGGCGATGGCGCATATACGAATGGCGCATATGACGCATATGGCGACGACCACTTTTTCATGGTGATGGCGCATATGGTGCATGCCATATCTCGCCATTGACTACTATGACTGAACACTAGGATTAGCCCGGGCAAAGTAAATCCAAAAGGCCAAAGAAACAGCTAATGAGCTGCTCAAGAAACACACTTCACCTCCAGCATCAATTATTATTACCTGATAATAATGCAAACGAGGTATCAATGATTTGATAGACTTTTGGTTGTGTTGTGGATGTATCTCAGCAATTTCAAGATTAGTCATCATGGTCATTTGCTGAAACAGCTCCACGATATTAGCACCCATGTAGGAATCAGGGCCATACCACAAATTTAAATTTGGTACTTCAGCAAATGCCTGCACGTGAAAGCTTGGCCAAGTCAAACGAAAGTACAAATAAGACCACATTAAGCAGCGTTTCTAAAAGTTATGAGTGATATACAATGAAGTATAAAAAAGAGAGATGTGATTATAAGATTTTGACTAATTGATTCGACTCGATCTTGTAGTTGGGCTTGACTTGAGTGCTATGTGACCCAGTTTCTGACCCCAACTCAATCTTGAATTCTATCACAAAGCTATTTCAAAATACAACAAAGAGAAATAAATGAATGGATAACAATCTAACCTGCAGAATAGTTTGGACAACATTAGAGGAAGTGCATGTTATAGTCGGCACAAGCTCATGAGAATATGCTTTGGTCTCCAGAGAGGTATTAATGTAAATGACATGTAAAGAGGGAGAGGAGAGAGAGGCCATGGCAAGGTAATCCATATATGCAGAGCTGGCTGCAGCATCTGCCAAAGAACAACCAATGCGTTCATCAGACATCCGATAGACACCAACCTGCACAGCAAATCTGTCATTGTATGAATACATGTGAAAAGTGTGAAATCACCTATGAAAACATATGGATAGATAACATCTAGTTAAAGTACTTGGGGAAACTTAGTTGGGTCTGAATGGTAACCTTCTCCGGTTTTCCCATTTCCACCCCCAAACATCCAACTATGTCTTACCACACCCAGGCAAGTCTTTCTCTAATAAACTTGACAGTGAACAACTCCAAAGTCCCATTCTTGACAGTCATCTTGTTTTATCTTTGCCATTAATGGATTCTCTTAAGTGGCATCTTATCGGAACAAAAATCAGCATTTCTCGGATATGTTAATATGTTTTGTTGCAGTTTGCACCACACGTATCCATCTACCTTGTCAATTCAACTAAGCATATTGCGGCATTTCTCTAATATGTTTGGCACCACAATGCCACATACATCTACCTAGTCAAATGAGTTATGCATATCATGTAAATAAATTAGATTCTTATTTCCAATTTATAAAATAATAAATAAATCAAATAAAAATTAAAAATCACTTTATCTTTTCTTAGTCAGCAATTAAGGGCATCTACAGAATGGAAATTATGTTCATTGAAACACGATATAGTTAGAAGGTAATAATTTCTTCAGATTCAACAATAACAGCAATCGTGCTACATCAATTGCTTAACACACCAAGACATCATGCTTAAGTTCAATTAAGGGCATCTAAAGTTCTTGCTTAACACACCAAGACATCATGCATTAAATGAAAAGCGAAAAAAATTACGTCCATAGTCCCAACTCCCAAAAACATGATACGAGCCCAACATTATATTTTACTATCATTGAAGGGAGCGTCCTCTTGTCAAAAGTTAACAAGCGAAGGCTTGCAGCTTCCCCCTTATACACCCTTGTGGTGACACCCTTTCTTGGATCCTCAACCAAAAGGGACACCAATGTGCACCGAGCTTCCCTTTTTTCCTAGTTTCCTTTTATTATTTGTAGTAGTAATTGTTTCCTATCCGTATTGATATTTATTTTAGTTAAGTTAAATATTCCTCTTAGGAATATTGTAATAGCTTTGTAACTCTAATTACTTGCTCCCCAAGTTTTGTGTGGTATAGAAGGGGTACAACTACATCAATAAGAATATTTAATTCCAACGGCCTGTTTGGATCGAGTGTTAGGGAGTGTTAGTAATGGAAGTGTTAGGGAGTGTTCGGTTTAACACCTGTTTGGGAGAAAAATTTAAAAAAATTAAGGGTGTTAGCAAGTGTTTAAGGGTGTTAATCATACACTTCCTAACACCTATACTTGTCACTTTTTTAACACCCCAAAATTGGGGTGTAGTGAAGTTGTTGGACAACTCTTGCCCTCCACGTTCATCTCTATTGCAACTGTTCTCCTTCTCTTCTAGCGAAATGCTCTCCACGTTCGTCTCTTTTTTCCCCAATTTTTCTTCATTTATTTCTATAGTAAAATCCACTCTACCATGTATATTTACGAATCTTGAGACAATTTCTCATACAAAAAGTATACATAATATGTATCCACTATTCATACTTCGTACATAGGGATTTTGGAATACGTATATCCTTTTGGTTTTGGGTGTTCATCCCAAACTTTTCGCCGGATGGCCGGAGCAATACACTTTTCCCTGTTCCATCCAATCTTTATATTTTTTCTATTTTTATTACAGAGTATTCTTTTAACTCTCCAATCGTTTTATACTATCCTCCGTCTCTAAATAGATGCAACATGAGGTGTGGGCACAAGAATTAAGAAACATGACCAAAGTAATTTTCTTCCCACTATACCCTTTTGTTCCACGCACAAATGAAGAAAAGTGGCAGACACATCACTGTACATCAACAGTACAATTGCTTCCATTTTCTCGATTACACATGCTGATACACATGCTACCACCGATTACACATGCCATACTTTAAAATTAAGCTACAGCAACCTAACATCATCAAACCAGATTTGTTTGAAGACCATGGAACTAATCGTAATTCATAGACAAAAAGCAAGAAAGAAGATTTTCCAAGTCGCTGGACGTCCTGATATTGTTCTCAACTATCATCTCCAACATTGATTCCCTGAAGTCCCTCTTTGGATCCTGGATGTTTTCACGACGGCGAAAATTTCCGGCAAGATGTTCTTTCTTGATGACATGCTTCTCCTCCCCTGAACTCTATCGATTCTTGGAGAATTCAATCTTAGGTTCAGCCCTGGCGCCCTGCCGGCGAGTTCCCTGAAATTTGGTGAAAAGGGTCGTCGCAGCCCACCTTCTTCTTTACCTTTTTCTAGGAATTTCCTCCATATTTGCAAGATTAGTTTGGTCCACCTTTGATTCCCGGAGATTCATCTGAATGGTTGACGATAGGCTTTGTAATGATGGAAGGGAGCTCGATTTTAGGGGCCGTTTCGGACAGGACCCTATAAGCGAACTGGTCATGACCGTCATCGTAGTGGAGCATCCTGGCGAAATTTTTGTCCATATGCGCTGGGTCTCTTTAGATTAGAAAGAGAAATGCTACGGAAGAAGATAAGAGAATGGGTGGATGGTTAGAAATTAAGAGGACAGTTGGATGGCAGATCGGTGGGGGGAAGGAGAAGTAGAAAAGATAGGTGCGAGGTACTTTTGCATAAATTAAACAGGGGCATTAAAGACATTACATTCATTTTTGTTTACTAAAAAAGGAAATGTTGCAATTAATTTGAAACTGCCAAAAAAGGGAAGTGTTGCAACTATTTAGAGACGGAGGAAGTATATACTAGTGAATAGAGATACATATACATGAAAAAGTTTGAATGGATCGATACATATACATAGCAATACATACATATATACATATATATGAAAGAGTTTGAATGGATGATATATATTAATTTTAAAACCTGCACTACTTAAATATTAATTTAAAAGTTATGAGGATAGTTTTGTTAATTAAAATAAAAACACTTCCATTATTAACACTTCATTTTTTAGCTCTCCCAAACAAGATAAGATTTTGTTTAACACTTACACTTCCCTTCCCTTCCGAGCCCCTCAGAACACTTACTAACACTTCCATTATTAACACCTTCTAACACTTCATCCAAACAGGCCCCAAGTGTAATGATAAGGCTTTGACAAGGTCATAAATCTAGGGTTTCTACTAAGAACAAAACTCTTCCGGTAGGCATATCACAACCATGCTCATATTAAAACGCCAACGAGATCTCCCCTCCCACCGAAAAAAGGATAGGGCTTAAATGTACCTGAGAGAATCCAGCCTGGTCAAGGATCGCACGAACGTTTTCTGACATAAAATCTACTCCGAGGACAGTGATATACTGACATCCAGCTTTTGCCATCTTAACAGCTGAATCTGCCATTAGCAAAGAATCAGATATGTGTATGTGAGGCCAAAGCTTCTGTGCTGCTGTTAAAACACCTTGGACTTCAGGATCCATGTAAAAATGTGCAACAACTCCAATTCTTTTTTTCTCTAGCAAATTTGCAAGTTCTTTGACTTTTGAATCCACAGGGAACAGAAATCTAGCCTGCAAAATCATGTGAAATTAAACTCAGGCCTTTAGCTAGAGTCTTGAAGTTCTTTAGCGTGAGTTAGCACAGAAGGTAAAACTGTGGTGATGAGAATACTCACTTTTTCTCTCTGTTCTATAGAAGATTAGAAGTAACCAAATTTTGCAATATATATATATATAACTCCAATCCGTTCTTACCATTTTACATAAATCTTGTATGACATGGATAGAGTTGGAACAATTATTTTACGTTTTTAGTTTTGATGGAACTATCTTTAAAGCATAGCAATTATTTAACTTTCCTGTTGTTCTCAAAAGCATTTGGATGCTCTATTTTCAATAAGCGTGCATAACATTCAAGGAACAACATGATTTATAAAAAGTTTTTTGTATTGGTCTTGGATGTCTATGGGTTTTGATAGTAACACATTGTCATTATATAAGTCGGTTCATTTAATCTAGAGCCCCAATGCTAATTCGGTTAATAAGTTCTGACGGCAAAAAAACTAAACGATAAACATAAAATACTAGAAGAAGACCTGAACTGACTTTATCAAAGATGAAACATAAGAATGAATTAATATCAACAAAAAATGTTGGGAACAATTAACTGTCCTCAAAGTGAATAATCATCAAAAGTTCAAAACATTGAAGAATTTCAGAGACGGGTTAAACTGCGTATATAAAAGTGCTTGTGAGTGCATTCCTTAATATCGATACAACAATACTCAAACAGCCCTCTAAAATACAAAAAATAAGTATACATGCTTAAAAAATATATACTATAATAGTAATTATATTATAATTTTAGGAAGACCAGTGTGTATAAATTTTAGCCAATATTCTGTGTGCGCATAATGCTTACTACATGTGCATTTCCCATTTCTCAGCCTGAGTGGTGCATGCCTCCGGCCCCCTTGTAAATCCATCTCTGTCACCAGCTGGCAGTTAATTTTTTTTTTTAAATTTGGCGCCACCTAAAAACAAATAGATGCTAGGCCTGAGTGGCCGTTCCCAAAAAGTAGTTTCCAGACAATAATTCATGACAATAATTTTATTGAGAATCAGTTTTCACTTTTCAATAAGCAGCTACATATTACTTTTTTAAAATTTTGATAAGTGTCTTTTATCTAATGTGGTTTACCTATTCCAAAACTCTATCCAAACAGGCTAACTCGATATAGTATATACACCACGTACTACTGCTTTTTCGAACACTCAAACTCTCTCTCCATCCCAAAGAAAGATTTCCATTTTACTATTCATATGGTGTAATTTATTTTTATTTTTTGCCCTTCTGTGTATCTAGTTTTATCATCTATGAATTTGAATTCGGTTTCTAGTTTATGTTCTGAAAATAAAAAATTCAATTATGAATATTAGTTTCAATATTAATAAGAGAGAGTTCACTTGATAGAAAACAAAGGTGTTTGAGGGACAAACCCATTTAAGGAGGGAGGTAGTAAGTAATAACAGCAGTGGCTCACCTGAGCTTCAGCATAGCTCCCTTTGGCTTTTATACCTTGGGCAGTGAGAACCAGAGATGGGAATGGCTCGGCTTGGCTCCGCCCCTCCATTTCCGCCACCAAAGCCTTAACCCTCTTCTGTATACTCATCAACACATTTTGCCAAGCATTCACTCTGGAAGAAGAGACCCCTTTTCCGTTCACATTTAAAAACCCCAAATCCTCGGTTCTCATGGCGAGAATCTCCGCTGGAGCTTCTCCATCCAGCATCCGAACCAAGCAGGCACAAAATCCTTTGGTGATCTCCGAATCGCTATCCGCAGATAACCTAACTCGGTTCTCCTCGTCCAGCCGCACATGTAACCACACCTGGGCAGTGCAGCCGGGAACCCGGTTGTGGATTGTTTTTAGGGAGTCATCCATGCGAGGGAGTAAGGAGGAGTAGTGCAAGAGGCGCTTAACGCGGTCAATCGGCAGGGCGAGTGACTCGAATTCCGATAGAAGGAGGTGGAGCTTGGTAGTTGAAGCGTGGATTGGCGGGTAGGTTTGAGAAGTTGTGGTGGTGAAATCCGGGGTCCGGAGGCTCCAACCGCCATGGTATTTGATAGGCCATGTGGAATCCGGGTCCGCATGATTAGAACTTCGAGCATGGATGGTTTTCAGACAGGCTTTGGAAGGCAGGCAGGGTGCGGAAACATATTTGGAAAGAAATAAGGACGAAGAGCAAGAACCGTTCATGGGTGCCGCTGAGAAAAACAATAGAGCAGGTTGCGGCCGATTAGAATTCGGAGCGCCAGCAACAAAAATCTCCAAACGCCAGCCAGCTACATACATTAACGACGTGAATGGCTTGGCTTGTTTCGTTTCCCAGACAAGTGACCAGAGCTGAGAGTATACTACCAAACAATTCATTTGAATGCCTTCTCGATTGAATTGTTAGCCGAAATTTGGTATGAGTAAACTAGACTTAATGAATAAAATGGTCAAAAAATTTCATCAAAAATTTCCACTGAGAACCCCCCAAATGGCGAAGGCCGGACAGAGACTCAAAAATAAGGCCTTATTTGACCTTTTTTTTGTTAGTACGTGGCCTTATTTGTCCTTTTTCCCTTTTTTTTTACCTCACTTCCTTCCCAATTCTAATCTTTACCCATCCTTTTGTCTCCCATCCATCCAAAATCCCGCCCCAGACTCCTGCACCCACATCTCGCCTTCCAACCACCCCAGACTCCCGGACCCACACTTCCATCCCTCGACCTCGACTTCGTAACCAGACAAGAAGCCCCAGATGTCCGTCGCTGCTACGTGGGAGAAAGAAGGGTGAGAGTGCTCTGCCAGACTGAACCTTCCCATCCATCTGCTCTGCCGGACAAAAAGCGACCTCGGTTGCGCTCAAAGTGGACGAAGGGCTTGCGTTGCTCTGCTCCAACTTCAAGGTAAAACAAAGAGAACAACCGAAAATCAGTTCATTTCATATTCGAGGAGTTTAAAGATCCATTCAAATTAGTGAGTGTTTAAAGTTTTAAGCTATGGTGCAAACTAGTTTGATAAATCTTGTTGAAAAGTAATATTTTCATCCTTGTGTAGTACTCACCTTAGCAAAATTGATTTAATTCAATTAAACAAGACCTAATTTAGTTTCTGTCATTTAAGAGTTGTTTCAGATGTTGTTTGTGTGTTGTGAGATGTCTGTCATTTGTTTTGAATTGTCTGTAAAAAGTTCATAAATGTCACGCGTCGGCATGGCCGGACACGCTAACTACCGCACAATCCGATTAAGGCAACCGCAGTTCACCTTACTTGAACCGTGCAAGGCGTACATGAATACCATTCACACAAGTACATCCATAAACAATCATAAGTAAAGCATTTCAAAATACGCAGCAGAATACAAATACTTTTAAAAGTCAAATGCCACACAGGGCGAACATGAGCACGCAGGCTCTCAAATCATTTATAGTTCTAAATAGTCCCATGAGCATTATTTTATTTATATCAAAATAGAACTGGAAGAAGCATGAACCACGTCCTCTCTCCATAGATCACCCGAAGCAACGGGAACAGGAAACAAACTCTAGCTTCTACCTGAAAACTGTGAGGTGGCCTCCCCCGTGAAGGGGAGGTCAGTACTTGGAAGCATTTGACAAGTACAATGACAACTATACTGAATATAATCCATGTTTCAAACACAAGACCCTCAACATAGGGTGATACTATATTATGAGCATAACCTATAGCTACCCCGTTTCAAATCACTTGTATAGAATATATATATACCAAGTCAAATAGCCAACCCGTAGGTCCATTTGTATTTCAAAACAATTCCCCTTGTATAGCCCTTGGCCTATTATTGCATATAGCAATCTCGAGAGGTTACCCCACCCCTAGTCTAAACCCAACTCCATCGAGAGGGTTACACAAATTATCCTTTGTACTCATCCACGTTGGACTTACATACCCTATGGTGTATTCATTCATTTTGGGCTTACACACCCAGTATAATATCTTTGATTCATTTAGGACTTACACACCCCGTATAATCTTAGTTCGTGTAGGGCTTACACACCCCGTATAATACTTTACTCGTTTAGGGCTTACACACCCCGCGTAATACTTTATTCGTGTAGGGCTTACACACCCCGTATAATACTTTATTCATGTAGGGCTTACACAACCCGCGTAGTATCCTTTATTCATTTGGGCTTACACACCCCGCGTAATGCTTCATTCATGTAGGGCTTACACACCCCGCGTAATATCCTTTACTCGTTAGGGCTTACACACCCCGCATAATACTTTATTCATGTAGGGCTTACACACCCCATATATGTTTCATTCGTTTAGGGCTTACACACCCCGTATACTCATTGTATACGAGCAATCATAATCTATCAACCTCGGGTTAGTATACATCAAGACTCCCGGGGCTGCCTTCATATAGTCTAGGTAGACTCCACCATTTCCTTTGAGTGTGACCGTAGTCTATCACTCATTCTAAGTTCATGCCTATCTTATTCAATACTATAGATAGCGCACACAATTAATCACTACGGATTCATATCACTTTGATCATATCAATAACTCAAGTATTCCTTACTCCACATTTAATCACTTTGCCTATCCACATAGGTATCCATGTATCCCTTTTAAGATCTTATGGAATCACACATTTATCAACATTTGTCTATACCATTCTAATCCTCAATATCAATTCAATAATTAATATTTTTCAAGGATTTCTCCCCTCATGCATAATACATTTGTTTATCCACCTTTGTAATATCATGTATCAATTTATATGACACATAGCAACACATTTATTCATATTGAAGTATATCATTTAATTCCATCAAAATCATAATTTGATTACTTAGGTAATCTCATGCTCAACTCACGAGTTATAGACAATATAGTCAGACATCCTCACCTTAGATATGTCTAACAAGGTTGCCTATTGGAGCCCCATCGTTAAACATTCGATCGGGAATGATTCGAAACAACATTGGCTGGTAGAGGGCAAAAGCCGCCCAGCTTTCGGCTCCTGCAGCACGAAAACAGCACCTAGAAGTGGCGGTTTCCGGCGATTTCGAGTCATATCGATTCAACAACTCTTCTAAGTTAATTACCAACACTTTATATCATATTTCTACACTTTTAAACGTGTAGAACATCCCCTAGAATCCATCATATGATTTCTATAAAATCATATATGAAAACTATATAAAAAGGAAGAACAAGAACCGGAGCTACGAGATTCTTACCGCTAGGCTTCGTTTCCTCTTGGATTCTCTTCTCTCCTTCACTCCCTTTTTCCCCTGAGCTCTTGTGTTTGTAGAAACTCTCCAAGGCACTCACTCCTCTCTCAAACTTACGTATAACATCCCAAATGAGAGGATGAGGAGACTCCCCTCCCTTATCTTCTATTTTTTTCAGAAGGTTGGGCCGATTTAGTTGGGTTCGGTTCACGGGCTGCTTTCTTTAATTAGTCCCGGTCCGAAGCTATTTACAAATTAATCCTCCAGTTGATTATGGTTTACATTTTATACGGGATACCCCGAATTAAAGTATAGGGAACCCTTCACCCTTATAATTGTTCGGCCCACGAAATTGTATATTACTTACTTCTTATTCTTGGGCTTTTTATTTAAATTAACTTGGTCCAAGAACATATCTTAGTTAGTCCCTCCCCATGTTTGGGGTCCGACCCACAATTTAATTAATCGGTATTAATTTAATCAATTAATCATTTCTAGTATGATTAATATACTTGTAACTAGTTTTCAAAGTGAATATACATTCATGACTTTAACTAGTTATCCTCATCGAAATTAGTATTTGCACTTTCATTTAGATTTTAATATCAATGGATTAATAAGTCCAGGTATAAATTGGGAGCGGTGTCACAATAAATGTCTGTGATGTTTTAAGTAGATGTCTGTCATTCATATTTCTTTGTCTGTCATTTGTTTTGAGTTGTCTGTAAAACGTTTATAAATGTCTGTGATGTTTTAAGCAGATGTCTGTCATTCATATTTCTTTGTATGTCATTTGTTTTGAGTTGTCTGTATTAGTTTGAGTTGTCTGTAAGGAGTTTATAAATGTCTGCGATGTTATAAATAGGTGTCTCTCATTAGAGCTGGGACCGGTTCGGTTCTTACTCAAAATGAGTGGAACCGTTATAAAATTTTTAACTAATGAAATCGGTTCGGTTCCTATATAAAAAAATCAAGAACCGTTATGGAACCGAACCGGTAGTAAACGGTTCGGTTCTGTAGCTGGCCTGTGGGCCCGTGTTCATATTTCGTTTCATTCATCGTTAGCACGACACAACCCGTAGGTCTTATTATTCATACGAGACTTGTCACCGCCATCCGAGGCCTCATCGGGTCCTCGGGCCGGAGTCCAACATCCCGCCCCTGGACTCATACCCATCATCCCGTAGGAAGGTAAAGCCCATTTGGGATCCTATCTTATGTGTTACCGCTGTCGAAGCCTCGTGAGGTCTCCGATTCGGATTCCACCCTTATGCGTAGTTACATTGTAAGTCCATGCTATCCAACCCCGCTCTCTGGAGTCGGGAAGGGCCATGGTCCTTACTTATTACCATAGTTCAAACGGCTATCCTCAAGGACTACCGAAAACACCCGAAGGTCAATCCTATACCTAGGATCAATTTATCATTCACTTTGACTTGGGTATCCTTTAAGGCTTACCCCTAGTATAACTTAAAGTTTATACATATCCACCTTAGCATCTCTTGAGACTACTTAAGGTTCAATGTCTCACAATCCGAATCCTTAGGATTAATCCTACCATTATTCATATTTACCTCCCGGCTAGTATTCTCATACTAGTTGGATAACTCAAGGATAACCAAGTCCTCAATCCATGTCGTCTATCAATACCTCCTCAAGATACAAACCATAGACGAGTCTTAGTCTATGACCGATACATCGGTCTAGTCACCCCGATTCCTCCCTTAAGGACTGCCCGAAGCATGACCCAAATTTCATTTCCTTACTGTAGCGTGAACTATCTCATCTAATACCACATTTCACGTGGAAGCGACCCAATACTTTCCCGGTAGCTATTGCTACAAGAGAGACTCCCACGTATCACATATCAATCCCAACTCCCATGGGATTTCGAAAATAAGTAATCATCCTTGGCTCTAAAGTCCGCCTCACATATATACCCGTGCTGCTCACTCATAGGTGGATGGATATAACACTAAACTTCCATCTAGTTTCTCATATTCTGGTTATCCCTCTGTGAGTTCCTAAGACTAATACAATAATGTGTAACATATAAGGCAAAACAGTTTGGTGTCGCGACCATCATATTGGTCTTATTTGTACTGAACTATATTACTCGGTGATAATCAACCACCGGTTACACCCCATTTCTTAAGCCTTACATAAACTCCTCATTAACAATTACTTACGTCAATCTCTAAATGCTCAATTACAATTCGGAGCGTAGGCCATGCCCTTATTTCCCCTGAGTTCTCAATCTCCCGTTTAATAGCAACTCTTGCACCTTGTTTCTCAATCATTCTTTATCACGGTTATATCCTATGGGGTCCAATCGTATTCAACGATATTAGACCTTACGTTTAGTCTCCTTCATTCACTACTATCGTTATGTAATAGTGTGTCCTTGCTGCCATATCGTTTCAATTTACAAGTGCCCTTCTCACACTTGCCTAATACGTCTCCTCATTAAGGATGATTTTATCACCATCCCCGCTCAACTTTAATGTTCTTACACCTAAAATCGGTGCAAGACACACTCACGTTCATCGCGGTACATTTCAAGCCTCAAAGGACGTCTCGGGTTCAAAACATAAGAAGGTTGTTCGTCCCCTCCATAAATTGCCCGGTTTTCAAACATAGAGTTTAACTTACAAGGAACTTCCCAAATGCCGGCCGGTTTCCATGAAAGCCGGACGGTTTTCATACCCAAATCGAGGCCTGCGATTAATTTCACCCGTAAGCCGGCCGGTTTCCATGAAAGTCGGCCGGGGTTTGGCAGCGTAGCTTTAATCCATACTTTAATCCCAAAGTCGGCCGGTTTCCATGAAAGTCGGCCGGTGTTCAGCCCCGTAGTTTAATTAAACTTATTCAACTCAAAAGCCGGCCAGTTTTTGTCAAAAGCCGGCCGGTTTTCTCTGCCGCAGATTAATTCGAATTTATTTCCCTCAAAACTGGCCGGGCTTTGCCAAAGCCGGGCGGTTTTTGAGCGTTTACTAGCTTCATGATTCCCGTAAGCCGGTCGGTCTTTACAAAAGCCGGCCGATGTTTGCTGCCATAGTTTAATTCGTTTATTTCTTTCCGAAAGCCGGCCGGTTTTCACCGGAAGTCAACCGGTTTCCTCCCCCGAAGTTTAATTCGATCTTTAATTCATGTACATGCCGGCCGGTTTTAACCAAAGCCGTCCGGCCTTTGTATTTTTTCAATAATACACTTTGTTTTTCTTGATTAATCTGGCTGGTTTTGCCTTAGGCCGACCAACATCCCAACCCTGGGACTTACAACTTATCTATGCATTCGAAAAAAAGTTTTAAGAAGGATTACCTGTAACGGTGGACGCGCTCATGCAAGAATTTGCCTCCTTCCTCGTGTGAACTCATCGTTGAGTTCTTCTTTGGTACCCGGAGTGTATGTTGCTCACATTATCTCCCCTACGTGGTGTGCTCACTTGAGACGCCCCCGCTAGGTTCATGTCCCCTACGGTTCCTTCATTAGCTCCTGAAGTAGTGTTACTTCCCCGTTGAGGACAATGGAACTTCATGTGTCCCGTATCCCCACAAAAGAAACACCTCTTTGGTTCACGACAAGTCCCGTAATGGTACTTATCACAATTATCACATCTTCACACCCTTGAACTAAAGGATTTCCCTCCTTGGGTCACGGACCCTTGATTGTACGTTGACGGTGGCATAGGCATTTTAAAACCTCTCTCCACCCCGATATTTTGCCTTTTGCTTTGATCATGGGAATCATTGATTTCCCACATCCTCTTTCTAGCCTCCTCGGCATCTTTAGCCTTTCTTTCTTCCCACAACTCTTCCCCAATAAGGCCTCGTGTCACCACCTCATTAAAAGTCATATTCTTTTGGTACGCCGCCCTCTCACGCACTTCCAAATTCAACGCGTTCCAGAAGTGGTCGACCATACGGTCCTCATTCTTTGCATATTCAGGAAGATATCTAGCCAAGTCTCGGAACTTTTGTTCTAATTGTTTGACGGTGTACTCGCCACCTTGTTTGATGGTAGTGTACTCCCTCCTCTTTTGATTTACTTCATAGGAAGAGTAGTATTGTCTATAGAATTCAAGCTCGAAGTTGTCCCACGTGACTTCTCCGTTGTATTTCCCCTTGACACCCTCCCACCATGTTGAAGCTAATCCCTCCAACATTCTAGTGGCAACTCTCATCTTTAGGTTAGGCGTCAATTGCATATCATCGGCTGCCTCATTAAGCCTCTTAAACCAATCATCGGCCTCAGATATATCCCTCGTTCCATCGAACGGTTTACATCCGAGTGCCCTTGCCTCTTTAAGATACTTAGAGACCCTTATGATAGGACTCTCGGTACTTGGCTTTCTAGTACCCTCTCTATGTGCCCCGCACGCGTTACGACTTCCCCTCTTGGAAGCCACTTGCCCAATTCGCCTCTCTTGGCGTTGTTTCTCTCTTAGTTCTCGTTCACGATGGTATTTTTCAAATACCTGACTAATTCCATCCAGGGAGACATCATTGTCTTCCTCACTAATAAAATCATCACTCTCATCATATGAGGTTTCAGAAGGTTTTGTTTCGGGTATATACGTTGAGTCTTCTTCAGACTCCCAAGACCTATACTCGGTCTCCCGATCCAATTGTACGCTATCCATCATTTGGATCCCTTGGCCTCCTCGGCCACTCCCTTTTCCTCTAGATACTCTAGAGTTTCCCCGGTTGACATGCCCAGTTCATCCCGATGCACGCCCTATCCGGTCTTTCCTAGTTATCATGCCTCCACCTCGCGTTTCTGAAAGAAATTTTTGGAATGAGTCATCAGACTCGTTTCAATGTCAACTGACAGATAAGTACTTAAGACACCACTTGGCTCAAATCACTGCCATACCAATTGCTAAGGGGCGCGTCTTAACAATTAGAGACTTTGCAACTCAAGTACCAAAGGCTCTTTCAGTACAAAACTTTTATGCTCATGGTTTCCAAAATGATTTTGAAGAAAACACTTTTGAGGAACTTCATTATGAAGTTTATGGACTAAGTCTCTGATACCATTTAATTGTCACGCCCCGGCCTGGCCGGACACGCTAACAATCGCCGCACAATCCGATTAAGGCAACCGCAGTTCACCTTACTCGAACCGTGCAAGGCGTACATGAATATATTATAAGTAATATAATATAATGTTTATAGTATATAATATATAAGTATATTACTATAAGATTAGTAATACACTTATACTTAATACTTTAATATGTATAAGTATATATTAACTAAATGTAATATGTAAATATAAGTAAATAACAATAGTATAGATAAGAACTAAATATCAAGTAAATAGACATCTCTTTCGTAGACGGAAGCGGACGGGTAGGCCTCGTGCCTAGGGTTTGGAGCGGCGATTATCGATCGTCCGCGATTTCTGTCCTCCTCGCACGTCGATCGAGGCTTGAACAACAACTTAAGCGATTGAGCCATATGTTTCGTGAGATCAATCATTTACCGAATTGATCCATGGCAAGCGTTGGGGAGAACAGAGACAACGCTGGTGGCATTGAGGCGCTGGCAAAGGTTTACGGTGAGTTGGATTTGGAAGAATCCGGTTTTCAAATGATTGGGTTGATGATTTTGGCTTTGATGATGATCGAGATGGGAGCGGCACCAACAGTGTTTGACCCGGGTGGAATGCTAGAGGTATGTGTCTCGATTTTACAACAGGTCTTTCATCAGTTGGGATTGAAGGCAGATGGTGAAGCGGTATTGGTCCGCCCCCCTCCCGAGCCACCGCCGGGGAAGAAACGAGTGGCTAGGATTTGGATGCCTCTTTTAATTAGTTTTGCTGTTTTCTTTTATTATTTTAGCGTTCATCAGTTCCGGATTAATTTCTTTGTGAACATTAGCGATAGTCTCCGTTGCAGTTTGGTTCGGATTAGGTTTGTGGGTGGAAGCGATAAGGCTTGTTTGGCCGTTAAAAGCTTCGAAGCTCTCACATGGTTCACGAATAGTCTCGCTCTTTGAGGGATGATCTATTCTATGTCTAGCCAGAGAGTGGGAAAGCCTTTTGGCTATGCGGAGCCTCATGAGGAGGTTTTAGCGATATTTGGTTGGATGTACTTTGGGAATTTTGGTTGATTTAATATAATTAGTTTCCTTTAAACAAAAACTAAATATCAAGTAAATATGAATGGTATAAGTATTTATAGTATATATAATGTGTAAATATATTACAAGTAATATATAATATGATATTTATAGTATATAATAAATAAGTATATTACTATAAGATGAGTAATACACTTATATTAACCTATATAATAATTATAAAAATAATATATATGTACAAACTACATAGAATTGGAGAAGATGATTATTGAATATGAGAGAATAGAGAATTAGAGAATAGGAAAAGTTATAGGAGAAGAGGTGTGAAAAATGTATAGAAAATAGAAGTATAAATAAGTTTTTTTTGTATCCCCCACCCCCAGACCCCCTCCTAGGCCTCCAACAGCTATAGAGCCGTTTGGGAACAATCCCAACGGCTAGAAGGGTTTAAATATTAAAAAAAATTAAAAAGTGGCCATTATGGCCCGGACCGGCCGGTTCATCATTTGTAAGGCCTGAACCCACACTGCTAATTGACCAGGTCAGTTGGGCCAAACCGGCACCCAGACCAGTTCCCGGGCCAGGCCAGGTACAAACAGTACCAGGCCGGGCCAGTTGGCAAGTTCAGCCCTACCCAATAACATGATTTAGGAGCACAATGGTAAATGGTAAATTAAAAAAAATACAAAAATTACAAGCATCGGCTACAGTTTGCTACTTGGAATTACAAAGCATTTGTTCACTTGGTGGAAATCACGCGCATAATAACTACATTTCGATAAGATGGAACAAATGGATGATAATTTGCAACAAATGGTAGTTGGGCTTTTTTTAACTTAAAACGCTACCGGAGCACTTCATCTATGGGTGGGTAATGTTATTAGAGCATCATTTTTACACAATCTCACGCTCGACCGTCCAACAACACACTTGGACCACACCTAGAATCTAACTACCCGCCATTTCCTTTTTGTGCTAGAAGCAAATAGGCTGAGCAACAAATGGGTAAATACTCTTATAGCAGTTGGCAGAAACATAAACTATAACAACAGTCAGGTGGCGGCGAAGCAGCAGCAGTAGCTGAGATCCTACAGCCTCCTCAAATGATCCCGAGAAAAGAAGGGATGCCGCAATGCTTCCCGAGCAGTAAGTCTCTCTGAAGGGTCATATCTAAGTAACCCTTGCAAAAGATTAATAAGATCCCCAGCAGAATGGTCCACATGTTGCATGACCAGGTTCTGTTTCAAAATGTACAAGTTAACAAAATAGTCAGTGGGGGGGGGGGGGGGGGGGGAATGTAAGCAAGAATATGCAACTTATGACAAAACATCTTTTCCTTCAGAAAAGTTGGCAAATCCCATACCAGGGAGTAGGGATGATTTCATGAATTTTCTGCTTCCCTTTTAATTTTCTCTCAAATTTGTTTTCCAATGTATTATCTAATCCAAGGCCAAAACATGGTTATATTAATGACACTGAAAAGCTAACCTGAAGCCTGGGCAATTTCAGGACAGCTCTGATGCTCTCTCTTGATGCTGCCCCTTCGGGCCAATCCAGCTTTCCCTTCCTAATATACTTCTCTGCACTCCGGCTGAGACCAAAGCAACTAAGAAATTTTTAACATAACTGGCAAGCATGATGCCATTGTTTCCATCCTGCAATATTACAATCAGTAACTTACTCTGCTCTTTTCAGCATGTGCGCTGGAATAGGGCCTAGCACCTTCTCCATCATAGCTAGGTGCTCCAAGTTCTCATGAGTTTGAAACAGCGCCCCTCCCTGTATATTATATTAAACGTATAAACACAAAAACAGAAACAATTTCTTTAAAACTCTAATAGAATAAGAATAGATGACATACTGAGCATAACTCGATAAGGATACATCCAACACTCCATATATCACATGGGTAGGTCCAACCAAGACCTAAAATAACTTCAGGTGCACGGTAATGACGTGTGGATACAACATATGTTTGATTTTCACGGTCATATGTTGTGCTCCCAAAATCAATTACTTTTATTGCACTGGACTTTGGGACTCTCTTATAGTAAGTGTCCTTCAGTGATCTGGAAGAATACTACACATCCAAAAAAGAGAAGAGATTTACAAAAAAGTCTGATGAACTTGTTATTGAGAGCCTGTTTTGTCATTGGAAATGCTAGGGAAAGAAAATGTGGAAAGGGGAGCAACTTCAAATTCAGTTTATTTAAACTTAAATAATGACTAGGATATCACATTTAGGTTAAATTTCCAGATGTAACCTTCTAATATACACTTTTCTTAGATACAAACATGTGTAGGCTAAACTACCCTTACGAATTTCCAGAGGTAATTCTTATTTTAATAAGATTGAATTTAGAAGGGCCATCAAAGAAATATCTCATACTCAATGATTAAATAAGGAACCTTCCAAAAATCTACTATTTCAAAATGTTCAACTTGAAATTAAACTTCCCTGATTTAAAGGTTAAGCCAATCACTTCCAAAGAAACATCTGATTCAAATGTTTTTTCCTTTCAGCAATTACCAATTAAAAGAAGCTGCTCATGGTAAAGTTGTGGAATCTATGAAAATGTACCTTGTAATCAGGAACCTTAACATAGTCAGGAGATACCAGCAGGATGTTCTCTGGTTTCAAGTCAGTGTGAATGAGACGCAAATCATGCATAACTGCATTCATAAAGTACCAACAGTAAGAAAATAGAAAGACCAATACCCATAATACATATACTGCTGATGATAGAAAAAAGTACAATTTGGGCCACTTTAGTTACCAAATCCTAATAATAATTATAAAAATGCTAATTAAATTTTGAATTACAACCACAAAAATCGTTTAGGTATGCTGTGGAAATTAATAAGTCTGACAATAATTTCACACGCATTGAAAAAGTAGAGAATGGTACAAAGCAGTTATTTACACACATGCTACACATTCCAACAGTTGTCTTCCAATCTCACGGGCAAGGTCAATAGGAAATGAGCGATAATTGTTTTTCCGTAGAAAATCATATAAGCTTGGTCCAAGCTTCTCAAAGACCTGTTATCATTTAAGTCCATCCACAATTTTAATCCCCATAACATTTGTTAGTTGGGGAAGTTAATCCACTAGCTAGCCATTAATACTTACAATACAAACATGGTTACGATAGTCAAACCAGTTCCGTATTTGAACACAACTGCAAGGAACAAACAAATTTAACCAATGCCAATTTACATGGGAAAAAGTTGTGCTTTACTAAAATTAATAAATGTAACATCAAGTCATCAACGGGCACAAGTCTCACCGATTTCCATCCTTATCATGTTTGCCGAGCTGTTGAAGCACATCGACTTCAATCATGGCTGCCTCTCGATATTTTTTTAAACCACGAACAATTTTAATAGCAACCATTTCTTTCCTTTCACGATCCCAACATTCGAGAACCTGCCCAAAGGTGCCTTCACCCATTTTACTGTGTATCTTATCTGAAATTCATGAAATCATGAAACATAAAGTTAGGGCCTAAGGAATTAATATATATAAGATAAAAAAAATATCGGTTTCCCTATTCTATCCATTCCTTTCAGTTAAACGTCAAAAAAATGGTAAAGATCTAAACTCAATCTAATTATGGTAAAGGATAATTACAGCGCGATGTTATATTTTCTCCAAGCTCAAACATATAATGCCCATCTTTGTCATCTTCTCTCCATGGGGGAGAACCATTTTGAGCAACTTCCTTGACAATAAGGGAACTACTAATGTTGGAGGGTTGCCTCAAAGGTGCATAGCTTGTCACACTCCCAACATCTTGTCCACAAAACAAACCTAGCTGAGCCTACACACAGGTACTCCATGTTCACGTTTTTCTCTAAAAACATTTATATATTTTACCTTACCGATTTACCAATTGAAACCAGCGGAAATACTTGCACAAAATGTACAACACATCAAAATCAAAGAACAAGTGAATTAATTTGATTAAGAGGTAAAAGAGAGATTTCTCAAATCCAAACAGCAAATGGAAACACTTAGATTGTGAAGATCAAAGTAGCTAAGTTTATTTGATGGCTAAGAGAACATAGTCCGGATCCAGGAATATTGTAGACTTAAAACCGTTACAACACCGACAGCAGATGGAATAATTAGCATATGTACCATAATGCAACATATTTGATGTGGGTTTGAATTATGACCTATAAAAACTAAGCCCGAATTAACAAAACAAGAAATTTGAAGAAAAAAAATAGACAGTAATCATCCTAGATAGCAAATATTTAGATCTGAACAACAAATCACAGATCCGGGTAATCAATATAGAAGGATGGCATGGAAGGATTATCACATGAACTAACCAATGGCATAAGATGGCATGATAACAACAAGTATCCATTCAATATCTTAGCCGATAAAGTACCTAAGCTAGTTGAGATCTAGCAAAAAACGACGTACAGTAAAAACTATTCATAGATCTGCGAATTCCGAGATCGGCAGGTTTTATACCTTAGGGACCTCAGGTAGGACGTCCCACCCCAATCGAGGGCGTTTTCGCGGTCTCCGGTCAAGTTGCCGGATTGGAAACTCGGTCACGCGCTCCATCTCCATGGCAGCGGAGAAATTCTAGAGAGAGAGAGAGGATATGCAAGAGATAATGAGAGCTGCTGGTTTGCGTGTGAATGATTCAATCCCTAGATCTTTCACCTAATATTGAGTCGGGAATGAAGCAAAATCTAGCCGTCCACGTCCCGGTCCTCAGATCCGGATTCCTTCGCTACCAAATAAGTGGGCCCTTTGTTAGTGGGCTTCTAAAGCATTGTTCGGCCCCATACGTATACGATCCCAATCCTATGAATCGTAATCCGTGGCCCTTGGGCCTTCATATTTGAGCATTTAATTTAAAAAAATAGAGAGAGATTTTTTTCATTAACAAATTTTCAGTGTTTACGAATCGTAATGATTTTATTATTGATCGATTATTATTAGTTTAGTTTTGGGTATCCGTCTTCTCAAACCCTCCTCGTCTGCGCTCCGCCCCTGTCCTGCCTCTCAACTTCCGTAAACCCTTTCTTCTCCTATAGTTTCTCCTCCCCATCAATGCATAGTACGTTCAGTCCAGTTATGAATTCTCCAGCCCTGCCTCAAAATAGCTGCCTCATATCCGTTCCATCATATCTTCCCACCGCAGCAAAATCCCAATATCTCTCACTCGCTTCACGGCCTAGTAAGCTCCACCTCTCTTGCTCCCCGCTCTCTTCACCTCTGTCCTTCAGGAGGGTCCAACCCAAACCCCATCTTCGATCTCTGATTTCTGCCATAGCTTCGCAACAAGAAGAGGACAACGCCATCCTTCTCGACGAGCAGGACCCAGACGAAGACGAAGATTTTATTGAAGCTTTCAATTCGGAGGGAGAGGGTGAAGAAGACGGGATTCTTGAGGCCAGTGGAGATGCTGGAGAGAGTGACGATATGTTTGGTGAAGATGCGGGTGGGTGTGCAGAACCGCCTGAGGATGCAAAACTATTTGTCGGGAATTTGCCTTTTGCCGTAGATCATGAAAGCTTGGCTAGGATTTTCCAACAGGCTGGGACCGTTGAGATTGCTGAGGTAATAATTTGGTTATGTTTGTTTGGATTGAGGTTCAAGCCTAGGTTGGGAGGAAATATTAGTTACCTGAATGAAAATGGATTTGTTGTTGGGATAATGTGAGTTACCTTGTTGAGTGGCGTTATAAACTTGTTTCCATTGGGGTAATGTAACTCTAAAAATACTCCGCATAACATAGCACACACACTCGCATCACCCCCCATTTTTGTGGTAAAGGAAATGGAATGGATCACCTTGATATTACACAAGTCCACAAACTGTGAGAAAGGAACTATTTACCTAGATTGAGCTTGATTCGCCTATAAGTGAGGTATAAAAGTGATAATGTGAAATAATGATATGGGTGTTTCATGATAGGTTGTTTATAACAGGGATACTGAGCAGAGTAGAGGGTTCGGGTTTGTGACAATGAGTACTATTGAAGAAGCTGACAAAGCAGTTCAGTTGTTCAATCGTTATGTGAGTTGATACTCCCATTCTCTTGCTTGAGTCACTAATTTCTCGTTTGGTGTCAGCTTCGAAAATATTCACTTCACGTTGAGGTTTTATTGGATTTATGCTCCAATGTCTTTCTAAGCGGGTGTTTGGATATACTTCTTTAAACTGTTTTTGCTTCTTCAGACAGCAGAAGCAAATACTTTAGCGTTTGAGTGAAAATGCATAAGTACTTCTAAGTGTTTAAAATTAATTCTAGATGCTGTTTTTTAGAGGCTGTGGGAGATCAGCTCCCACAGAACTGATTCTGGTTCGAATTCTACTTTTAAACAAGCAGAATCAATTCTAAACACCCTCTAAGCTTGACTAAATTTGATTACAAAAGTATATAATGTGTGGTTGAGGTTTGGGCAAGCAGAGAATTTCAATACTAACCCCAAATCTTTTACTTTAAAAGGTAAATAGCAATGTTTTAATAACGTCTGCATAAGGAAAGTTCGTAAAGTTTAGTGGGTCCAAGGAAGTATCATTATCCTTTCATCTTGGGAAAGGCCAAATAGGTCATTCTATAAGTTTTAGACCATCACTTAAAGTTAAAAATAAGTATCATATAAATCTTCTTGCTCAAAGAAGATGATCAACTAGTTTAATATGTCCTCAGATGACGACGACATGGTCCAACTTGTAAATCCAAATGTCTGGTATTCCTTCCTAGTTGGATTTTCTTACCGATGCTTTTCTTTTTCATTTATTAGTTCTCCATCTCTTTCAACTAGCCTAATATGTCTTCAGATGCCGACGACATGATGCTTTTCTTTTTCCTTTATTTTCCTTCAATTTTCTTCTGCACCTCATTCACGCCTGGATTTTTTTGTGACACCGCTGATACATGTGTCCTAGAAAGGCGTCCACAACAGAAAGTACTTCTACCTAATATCAAAACTGATTATTCGATCTCCATTTCATGGGGTGAAAAATTCATTCAACCTTTAGCGAAGGAAAGGAGAGAGAAAAAGAAGATGAAAATGACCTCCACTTAGAAGCTGTTCCGTTCGTCTTAATCTTATTACTTATTCCTTAATCTTATTTTATTCAGATCAGATCAGATCAGATCAGAAAGATTCAGATCAGATCAGATCAGATCAGAAAGATTCAGATCAGATCAGATCAGAAACATTCAGATCAGATCAGAAAGATTCAGATCAGATCAGCAACATTCAGATCAGATCAGCAACATTCAGATCAGATCAGAAAGATTCAGACCAGATCAGACCAGATCAGAAACATTCAGATCAGATCAGAAACATTCAGATCAGATCAGATCAGATCAAAAAAATCAAACATGATTGATCACTTTTATTATTATATTAATTATGATTATTATATTATAGTTATTGTTAATAATATTAATATATTATTATAATAATATTATTAATAATAATATAATAATAATGTTAATAATATAAAATTATTATTATATTATAATAATATAATATAATATAATATAATATAATATAATATAATATAATATAATATAATATAATATAATATAATATAATATAATATAATATAATATAATATAATATAATATAATATAATATAATATAATATAATATAATATAATATAATATAATATAATATAATATAATATAATATAATATAATATAATATAATATAATATAATATAATATAATATAATATATTTATAATTATAATTATGATTTACAATGTAATTATAATTATAATCATCATTATTATTAATATGATTGTTGTTCTTGTTGTTATTTTTGTAATTATTATTACTTCGGAGTAATTATATATTTAAATTAGTAATTATAGATATAATTATGATTATAGAGATAAATATTATAATTATAATTACAAAAATAATAATTATAAAATTAATCATAATTAAAAATATAATTACATTTATAATTGTATCTGTATTTATAATTAGTGTAATTGGTATAATTATTATAATTTTAAATTTAATTTTAATTATTATTTTTTTATAATTATGATTATAATTGTAATTTTATTTAAGTTATATTTTTAATTAAAATTATAAATCTAATAATTATAATTAGAATTACAATTATAGAAAAATTCAAATCAGATCAGAAAGATTCAGATCAGAAGAATTCAGATCAGATCAGATCAGATCAGCAACATTCAGATCAGTTCAGCAACGTTCAGATCAGATCAGAAAGATTCAGATCAGATCAGAAAGATTCAGATCAGATCAGATCAGATCAGAAAAATTCAGATCAGATCAGATCAGATCAGAAAAATTCAGATCAGATCAGATCAGAACTTAAAAAATTCAGATCAGAAACATTCAGATCAGGTGAACGGAACAGCTTCTTACTTGTCTTCACTTCTTTTGGTTGAAAAAAAACTCTCGACCTTCATTATATTTTTCTTGCAAAAAACAAAAAAGAAAAGTAAGAAGAAAGTTTCCCATCACGGCAAGAGAAGACTTGGCTTTATTTAAAAGACAGGCAAGGGTTTTAACTGTTTCCGCGGATCATGTTGCCCTAATTGATGAATTTTTTGAGTAATTAAATTTATATGATACTCCCTCCATCTAAGGTTAAGGTTTTCACTTGCCTCTTTTGGACGTCCCATTTAAAGGTTCTCATTCTATTTTAGGAAATAATTAACACTCTTAAATGATAACTTAATCATTGTATATTAAAAATAATTTACCTATAACATCACAATTATCATCAGTTACCCTATTATTTACCTACCCAAATTGCTTTTCAAAATATACTCAAATTACCTTTTTTAATTATTGCCTAAACAACTGTGCCAATTTTGAATGGGAACCAAACTGGGATAAGGTAGTACTTGTTTTTGTACAAGAGTTTATGTTATGGATTTGAAATAGTGCAAGTGCTTATTTGGTCCTTTTTCCTTTCATCTTATGAACTTTTGTGGTGATTCAATAATAGTTCAAGTGCAGAAATTATCTCAGTGAAAGATGTATGCTTTGGTTTTTTAGCTTTTCTTGCCACTGTTAGATTAGGGGTCGGAGAAAGTTGCATGTGTGTTAAAGAGTTTTTTTTCTCTCAATTGTCATTTCAGGGTTTTCACATACTAAGAAAGATTTTTAAATATAAGGGCAAGCTACAAGTGCTATAGAAGCTGGTTGGGTTTTATTTCTGAAATTTTGAAGTTGTTCTTTAGGTTATTTAGAGCACCCATATTCAGGCCAAGGAATTTAATTACTCAATTCCTAGTTAGGAAGTGAGAAAAACTTTTGCTTTTACCAAACAAAGAAATGTAGACTTTAATTGGTGATGTATACAAAAGGAAAACATTATCTCTCATCCAGACTTTGGGGGTGTTTTAAATCTTGTGGTGGGTGGTGAAACATTGGTCATTTTTATGCATGTTTGGAGTACATGTAGGTTAGGGTGTGTTGGAACATCGTGATACAGTTAAGTCACAGGATATGAAGAGTTGTGTGGTTTTCTAGTGGCTGATATGTAATGGTTAAATTGGTGACCGGCAGGAGTTAAATGGAAGACCCTTGATAGTCAACAAGGCCGCTCCAAGAGGAACAAGGCCAGAACGTCCCTTTGAACCTTTTTACAAAGTGTATGTTGGGAACATTCCATGGAGTATGGACGAATCAGGCCTTGAGCAAATGTTCAGCTCACATGGCAGAGTCATTAGTGCGCGTGTTATTCGTGACAGAGATAATGGCCGTTCCAGAGGCTTTGGCTTTGTGACTCTGTCAAGCGAGGCTGAAATGAATGATGCCATTGCAAATCTTGATGGCAAGGTAATAATAACAAGGCAATCTGCCTAGGAAAATGCTACAAGTACAAACAAACTTACAAAAAACTTACAAACAAGTGATATGTGGCTATTGTAAATACCTTTGATGTAAATGAGATGTGATAAATAATGTGATGCTGCCACATACCTCTTTTGCAAGACTTTTTGTAAGTGTATGTGCCTATGGGCATGTTTCGTTCCTAACCAGCACAAATTCTATTTGCTTCTTCCCTAAAAAGAATAATTGGTGTAAAATTTCTTGCCTTTACTTAAGTAGGTTGCTGCCTGTGGGTGTGTTTCGTTCTAGGTGAGGGGTTGGTAGTAAAAACACCCCTCATCTCCTTCCCCACAAAAAAGTCACATGTGTTACCCTCCCCGCTTTCCCTGCAAACTTGCCATACCCTACGAGGAAATGGAAAGTGCTTGCTTTCTCATTGAAAATAAAGAAAAACTTTTCACCCATTTGTTTTCCATCGTAGCAAACTTATTTGAGTTCCAGTGAAATGTGATCAACACGAGCTTGGAATTCCTACACTTCCCATGGATAGTTAAAATTAAGAATGGAGGGTGATGAAAGTAACTCTCCTCCAAAACCAATTAACTTTCACATTAATCGCTTCCATCATAAGTACCAAGTATCTCCCATGTTTTTCTTCGCTTAACCCTCTCCCTCTGCCAATTTGTATATGTTGCTTAACCGTGATTACTCACTAAATAAAGTCTCTTTGACAGTTTACAAAAAGTACTACTATAAAACAGGGATCAGTATCATGTATGTTTGGTGTTGTGCAGAATCTTGAAGGGAGGGCAATCAGAGTCAACGTGGCTGAAGAGAGACAACGACGCAGCTATTAAATGTTTATCAAAACTGGGATCCCGATAGCAACAAGCAAGTTCCATTTGGCTAATCTTTGGATCTTTGATGTGGTCAAGAAAGATATCTTGTAGTTTCCCGTTTGTGCATTTATCAGTTTTGATTTTTGATTGTGAACTTTTATATGGTGTAGTTACAACAAAGTGTGTTTCCATGATGTACTTTAATTAATGTTCAAAGTGGTGTACCTTTGTGGCAGCGTTTTTTTAGTTTGTTTAATCTCGTTTTGAACCATATTTATGCATCATTATCGCATTTATAATACGTAATAGGTTAGTACTTATCAATAAAGTTAGAAAAAAAATATCTTGAAATGAAGGCAGTATTAATTTTCAATAATATTATTTAATAAATTATTAAATTAATTGTCACCATTATAGATAATGTGAATAGTTCAAAAATCAAATGATTGCAAATTTGCAACCAACAAAAAATGAAAGTAGTATATTTTAAGACTCTGAATGGAGTCTTGGAGATATGTAGCCATGTAGGCACATATCTTTTCTTAGTTTCAATCGAACTTTGTTGTGAGTTTATTTAGTTGCAGAGAAGATGCATCATTATAACGTTCTCAATTTGAATGTAAAAAACACAATGGTTGTTAGTTGCCTATGTTGCTTAGAGATTGGTATAGACTACAGAGTATTCTAACACGTCAAAATATCACTCTTCTCATGAAAAAGTCAGTTTCTTAAATATTACCACGTATCTTAGAACACGCGGGAAATAATTTTTACAACAGTTCAAATTTTTGCAATGTTGGAAATATGGCAATTCATATCTGAAAATAAGTTACAAGTACTCTACTCCGTCCCATGTTGTAACATACATTTTTCTTTTTTGGTTGTTTAAAAAATATGAACATTTTTTAAATTGAACTCCACTAATTCTTTACTTCACCACTTTATCGTTTTATCTATGATTTCATCCTTTACTTTTTATAAATTTATTTTCTCTTTCTTACTTTTTGGAGGTTAGAAAACAACCATTTTATCCTTATTTTCTTATAACCGTACTAAACTCATATGCATCTTACATTATGGGACGAAGGTATTGACGTAGTATTTGGATGGATTATTGATGACATGGTAGAGGTAGTGGTAAAGCTAAAGAACAGCTAAAGAGAGAAAGTACATTCATTTTGGCATAGTGAAGGTAATATATATAAGCTATCTATCAACCACTAATAAACACGCGCACCTCTAAAGCTCTACGTACATGTCGGGATGATATTAGTTTTGCTACTTGTACGCATCCCTTGTACGCACCCTTATCCCCATCCCGTGAGAGACTATTTTTTGTCTTTGAATCCCGTTCACCGACAAAAACATGTATGTTTTGTCTATTAATGGGATTCAGTGACAAAAAATAGCAACTCATAAGGGTGGGTATAAGGGGTGGGTATAAACAAAAAATACCAATGATGTAAGCATGATGTGGACATGTAGATGTCAATGCATGTGCAAATTGAAGTTAGTCTACTGTCTACGATCAAATGTTTTTTTTTGAAGAGCCTACGATCGAATATTAAGATGCTTATTTCGATTAAGTACTTGATGAGTAGTCGAGGAGGGAGGATGGCTCACCAGCCTCATCAGACTTCCTCCATCCGATGTTTATGGCCTGAGGAAAAAGTTGTCTCCTCAACCTCATCCATTTGTTAAGTTCTTTAGACCCAGTGTATATGGTAATTTTTAACAATAATGCTTGGTGTAGATCATGGGTTACACTCTATTTATTTGCCCTTCACACAGATAAAATGTACAAATAGACACTTATTGATAAAATTTGTCCCCTTGAACAAAACTTGTCTGTGTGAGGAAATCATGAAGTAGTTTTTTTGCAGTATTTCTAGCATACGTTTGATAGACAGTATTTCAGTCTCGATTGTTTTAGGTTTTAAATTGTCCATTTCGTGTCTAACGAATCGGGTTGATTTGTATGAGCTAACTGATTCTATGTTTATTCCCATAGCTCACTATCAAATCTGTCATAACTGTATGGATGTTAGGATGTTATCTTGTATCTTTTATGGATTTTAATATAAAAACCAATCCTTTATTTTCAAAAAACTTGCTCGTTTGATACGCATATTACATGTACTGTATTTTTTCTAAATATGCGTGCCGAGTTTATGGAGGTGTTCCAACTTCCAGGCATAGAATTTGAAAGACTTTGGAGTATTCATGAGTTTATGCATTTTCCAACTTCCAAGCATAGAAATCCATTCAATCGTATCCTAAAAAAATCTATGAAATTTATGAAAATCCAATCACAAGTGGCCAGATTTTGATAAAAATGTATGCGGTATTTCAATTTAGAAATGCACATAAATCCATCGATATTCAATTATCCACCGTTTAATAGCCCATAAAAATCCATACAAAAATTGAATACACCTAGATTTTAATGGAATGAATAGAATTCTTTGTTGAAGAATTTAGAACAAGGAGGAGGGTGCTATGGTAGGCGCGTGACGGCCAGTGACGGACCCAGAGATTTCTCAGAGCAGGGGCACACTAGACACTAAACTTACTCTATAATAAAATTTTCAAATGTAATAAAGATGGTAAAAAGTAAGGCAATAGCATAAATTATACGGAGTAGTTTTTTTTTTTTACTCCAGGGGGTCTAGGGGAGGGGGTATGGGGGGGAGCCTGGAGTAATCAGGGCTGAAACTGAGTCCATTGAGTTTCAAACCCTTTTTGTGTCTAGCAGGATTCGAACTCGAGACCTCCCACTTGGCATGGTAACCTCGCAACCAGCTGGGCTGGAATGCTTGGTTATTATACGGAGTAGTTAATTACATATTAAATAGTTCATTTCTGCAACTTTGGTAAATCAAGTTTACGAGTTTTCATATTCTAAAAATGTTGGTAAATCTGTAAGATAATCATCTCCCATCTTATTGCGAAGATCTGTCTTGATAATATTCATCGCAGAGAAGGCTCTTTCAACGGTGGTTGTTGCAACTGGTAATACTAAAGCTAACTCAATCAGACGATATACCAAAGGAAAGGATTGTGAACTTTAAGCTCAACCATCTTTTTGCAAACTTCACCAATAGTCTGTACGGAAGAAAATAATTCATTTGTTCTCATTTCATATATCCACACCTGGAGTTACTCTTTCAGCTCCATTCGATCAACAGATGAAAAACCGCATGAATATAATTCTGCGAGGTTCAGTAGCTTTGACTCACAGAAATTGGAGAACTTATCTCTAGGATCAAGACATGCTAAACCCGGTCCTCACAAATACATCATCTCCAAATTTCTTCCCTTCTACCCCATGGAAAAGGTAACACCAAAAGCAAAATGCAGCATCTTTAGAAATACTATATTTCAACCATTCCCAATTTTCAAACCACTCTGCTCGAAAACATCTCATTTTTTTTCGAAATAAAGTTCGTAGAAAATCATGAGACAACGGTTGACAAGCACCTTTAACGACATACACATTCATCACGTCATCTCTTACTCGAGGCTCATATTCAATGATTGGCTTTCGTAATGCGGGATCGCTAATGATATCCCACTCACACGTACTATCTGCGCGGGCTCTTTTGTCTCCCCTGGTGTCATTAGACTCATCTCAGACAATGCTTACATTCGGAGCAACAACATTTGCATCGCTTGAGATAGACTGATTAGGAACGTTCGAAGAACTATCCCCTCGAGTTAAAGACCTCTTGGTCCGAATTACAAAGTTATCCAAACTCATGTTCCTAATTTATATAACTGTAACATTTTAGTATCTTGATTATCTAATACTAATAATTTTTTGTACGGGTTGGGGCACTAATTTTACCCGAAGTAGTAGTAGTGAAATTTTTGGCCGGAAGCAGGGACACTTATTTTACCCTAAGTACTAGTAGTGAAATTCTTGGCCGGAAGCCGGGGCACTTGCCCCGGTAGCCCCCCCAGGTCCTCCACTGGTGACGGCCAACAGTATTACTTAGTGACATCACATGACATGAATCGAAATATGAATATCATTACAGCTAGGTCATCGCGCATAAGCGACGCGTCATCCCTCCGCCTGGGGGTGGTGTCAAATATGCAAGGGCGCGATAAGAAGCTAAGTTTGCCAGGTCATCGCCCGGAAGCGACACGCCACTCCAATGCCCGAGGATGATGCCAAATATGCAAGGGCATGGTGGGTGTCGATGTGGTGTGAAGAAGAAAAGGCACAATGCTATATTGCGTTTTGGGACATGGAATGTTGGCTCTCTTATGGGAAGATCATCTGAGATAGCTGATGTTATGAAAAGGAGGAATGTCGGCATAATGTGCACGCAAGAAACTAAGTGGGTTGGAGAAAAGACACATGAGATTAATCCTGGAGGTTTTAAGTTGTGGTATTCGGGGAGAGAAAGGAACATAAATGGAGTACGCATTATGGTGGCACATGATTATGTTGAGGGTGTAGTGGAAGTCTTCAGGAAGAACAACCGCATCATGAGCATTAAGTTGATAATGTGAGATGAGATCGTGTCCGTGGTAAGTGCCTATGCACCACAAGTGGTATTGGATGCATCTATCACTCAACAATTTTGGGAGAATCTTGAGAAAGTCGTGCGACGAGTGCCAAGGGACGAAAAACTGGTCATAGGAGGCGACCTCAACAGCCATGTGGGCCCAAGTCGTAATGGTTTTGAGAGTATCCATGGCAGACATGGTTTTGGCATTAAGAATGAAGTGGGGAAGAACATTCTAGATTTTGCCTCGACATATGAGTTGGGTGTGATGAACACTTGGTTCAAGAAAAGAGACTCTCACCTTGTGACATATAGAAGTGGAGCTAATAGTACCCAAATTGATTACTTTTTAGTACGGACGACTTGATGAACTAGCTGCACTGATTGTAAGGTTATCCTAAGTGAGAGTGTTGTCACTCAACATAAGATGTATGTGCTTGATTTTCAAGGTAAAAAGAGAAGGTAGGTTTAGGTATAAGGGGATGCGAAGATAAAGTGGTGGAGGCTCGAGGGAAATCTCTAACAAACTTTTGCACAAAAAATGTTGGAGTAAGATGTATGGTCCATTGATAATGGTGCACATGTGGATGATGTGTGGTCATCAATGGAGTCCACCATTAACAAAGTGACGAAAGAGATACTTGGAGAATCTAAAGGATGTCCACCACCAAAAAAGGACACATCTTGGTGGAATGATGAGGTGAAACAAGCAATAAGGACCAAAAGGGAATGCTATAAGAAATTGGGTAAAAGTTGGAGCGATGAGAACATAGAGGAGTACAAGGAGACTAGAAAAAGAGCAAAGAAAGCTTTAAAGAATCCAGAGGAAAAGCAAACAAGGAATTTTATGCAAAATTGAATTCTAAGGAAGGAGAAAAAGATATTTACAGACTTGCCCGTCTTCGTGATCGTAGGACTCAAGATATCGGAAAAGTTAAGCTATGTTGCACCGATACTTCACCCCGATGCCGCATCCGCGTATCCGATACGTATCCGTATCCGATACTCACCGATACGCGTCTTGTACGTATTAGGTCGGTATCCGTAATTTAGTAAAAGTATCAGGCTTAATTTTAAAAATAGTGATACTTCCGATACCCGTATTCGTGAACCGATACGCGTATCTGACCCTGTAACCCTCATTTCATACACGACATGACGAAAATTTAGTAGCCACCCAAGCGACCACAAGATGTAGAACATTGATAAAGATGATTTCGGGAGTATGGAAAATAATGGAATACTATAATTTTTCATTTTATCGCTTGATGAGCTTTAATTGAAACAAGATTTAGATGTAAATGTAAATAGAGAACAAAAAAATGGTGTTTGAATTTAAATCAAAATATCAGTACTTTAGTTTATTTAGCCTAATCTTTGAAATTTTATTATAATACGAAGTAGTTGATTTTTTGTATTATTATTATTATTTTATTTATGAACTCCTGAATTATATATATTTGCAAATTATACCCTATATTTTTATTATTTATAAATTTACCCCCGCACCTGTATCCTATAATTTTTTAATTTGCCGTATCGCCGTACCCGTATTCACGTATCGACGTATCGGCGTATCTGTATCCGTGCAGCATAGATTAGTTAAGTGTGTGAAGGATGTCGATCAAAGGAAATTAATGGAGGACGGAGAAATCAATGAGAGGTGGAGGTCATACTTTGATACCTTGTTGATGATCTTACTATACCAGAGTGTATGGTAAATCAGGACTTTGTGAGAAGGATCCCAATAAAAGAAGTTAAAGAGGCTATGAGAAAGATGGGGCAGAAGAAAGCAGTGGGCCCAAATGGCATTCCGAGCGAGGCTTGGAGATGTTTGGGAGAGAAAGACATTGAGTGGCTAACACGTTTCTTCAACATGATTTGGAGAAATAACAAAATGCCAGAGAGTTGGCGGAAGAGTACTCTCATTCCCGTATTCAAAAATAAGGGTGGTGTACAAGAATGTGCCAACTACCGAGGAATTAAGCTTATGGGTCACACCATGAAACTTTGGGAGCGAGTGGTTGAGCAAAACTTCGAAGAATTGTGAAAATTTCGGAGATTCAGTTTCGTTTTATGCCTAGACGCTCAACAACTGAGGTCATTCACCTTCTTAGACAAGTTGTGGAGAAGTATAGAGACATTAAAAGGATCTGCATTTGGTGTTCATTGACTTAGAAAAGGCATATGATAGAGTTCCTCGAGAGGTCATTTGGTGGGCCTTAACTAGAAAAGGCATATCACATAAGTATATCAGTATCATCATGGATATGTATGAGCCTTGTACTATGAGTGTCCATAATAATAGTGTAGGGAGGACCGCATAGTTCCCTATTACAATCGGAGTGCACCAAGGATCGGCTCTGAGTCCTTCCTTATTTGCTATAGTCATGGATGAACTTACGAAGTCAATTCAAGAAGATATACCGTGGTGCATGATGTTTGCCGACGATATTCAATTGATTGATGAGACACAACCAGGTGTTAAAGCAAAGTTAGAAGTATGGCGACAAGCATTGGAAACCAAGGGTTTCAGGCTGAGCCGAAGCAAGACTGAGTATATGGAGTGCAAGTTTGGTGGAGGTAGAAGTAGTAGCAACAATGGAATTACTCTTGATGGTAAGGAGATACCGGTGTGTGATATGTTTCGTTACTTGGGATCCATAATTCAGAAAGATGGTGAATTAAATGGAGATGTATCTCATAGAATCAGAGCCGGGTAGATGAAATGGAAGAGTGCATCAGGATTTCTATGCGATCGAGGTATGCCGACTAGACTGAAAGGTAAATTTCAGCGAACAGCCATTAGGCCTGCATGAATGTATGGCGTAGAGTGTTGGGTGGTGAAACAATGTCATATTCAAAAGATAAGTGTCACAGAAATGCGTATGTTGCGTTGGATGTGTGGACATACCAAAAAAGACCGCTTGAGGAATGAGATATGAGATAATCAGACAAAAGGTGGGAGTATCACCCATTTTCAAAGAAAAGGTGGGAGTATCACCTATAGAAGATAAGATGCAGGAGTCTCGTTTGCGGTGGTTTGGGCATGTGCATAGAAAACCAAGAGAAGCACCTGTTAGACGATTTTAGGGGTAGAGAGAAGACACAGAGATGAGAGGGAGGGGAAGACCCAAACAGACTTGGATTAGAGAAATCAGAACTGATATGCGTCTTCTTGTATTGGATGAGAGTATGGCTTTGGAGAGGGCAAAGTGGAGGGCGCACATTCGTGTGAACGATTGATCTCTTTTCTTTTCTTTTCTTTTATTCCTTTCTCTTTGTCTTTTATCGTTTATCTTCTTCGTCCTTTTATGTTCTTATGTTATTTTTATCTTCTAGATTTTTGATACTATTTTATCTTTTAATCTTTTATCTTTCTGATATTCTTATATTATTGTTATCTTATACTCCCTCCGTCCCGCAATAAACTTCACACTTTCCTTTTTGGGCAGTCCCAAAATTAACTTCACACTTCAAAACTTTCCTTATTTGGCTAATTATCTACATCAAAACAGTGTCAAACAGTGCCAAACAGTGTCAAACAATGTTTGAACAGTGCAAAACAATGCACTCCACAGTAAAGTCAAATTTATTTTCTTAATCTATGTGAAGTCAAAGTATGAAGTTTATTGCGGGACGGAGGGAGTATTTATTTATTTTTATCTTATTCGTTTATCCTTTTTTCTTCTTGTCTATCTTCTCTTTTTGACATCGATATCATGGATCGATGCATGTTAGCCGACTTCAAAGTCTTTTGGGATTAAGACTTGGATGTTGTTGTTGTTGTTGAATAGAATTCTTTGTTGGGGACACTCAGAATTTAAGAAAATCCTCAAAACATTGAATTGAGCAGACCTGGAATTCAGCAGAATTTAAAATACATGAAGTTTCATATTGAGAACACCCCCTTAAGAGGTCGTTTGAGAACACTGTTTTTCGGCTTATCAGGCTTATCAGCCAACTTTTTCACCAAACACGTAACTTTTTCTTTCGCGCGCTGAATTATGTAATAAGCTGAAAAAGTAAGGTTGGAGTTACTTTTCTGGCTGTATTGGCTAAAGTTACCGCAGATGACCGTTTTAGCTATTTTTACATATAATTTTTTCTTTATTTTAATAATAAAATATATTTTAAAAATAATTTTTTCTTAAATCAGCCAATGCAGCCATTTCAGCCAGAACTTCATACAATTCAGCAGAATCAGCCAAATCAGCCGATTTTCGTGCTACCAAATGGGCTCTAAATAAATCAATATATCACAACACAAAAATGTATGGATGTATATTTTTAAGTGTGTCAAGTCCGACACACATACAACATGCTAATTATAAAGTGATTCTCTTATTTTCGTTGACATTCCAATATTAACATGATTAGTACATAATTCATTATACAAGCTATGTAATACGGATGATAACTTCTAAAGCCCCAACAATAAAAAGAAAACTGATTAACTGGCATAGTTGAGAACCCGTCTTTACTGGGCGCCTAACTGTGCGTCTCGACTGGTCAGCGGAACATACCTGACATCAGTCACACTATGGTCGCTAATTGTGCCATCTGAATTCTTGTCCACAACCTTCAACTCCTGGAAGACCACCCCCACCGGAATGACCAATCTCCCGCCTGGCTTCAGCTGATCAATGAGGGCTTTTGGTATGTCACCTGTTGCTGCCGCTCCCACGTGGATGGCATCATAAGGTGCATGCTCTGGCCATCCATCCCTTCCATCTATTTTACCATTACCAAGTATGCAACACCATATTACCATATGAAGGATCTGCCATATACTCCGAGCCTATTGAACATTTCTGAATTATTGTTTGAGACATTCCTAAATAAATTCTTTTTTGATACTTTTTTTAATCAATTTACTGGACCACTCTCAAATAATAGTAACCGTATATTGTCAAAGTAGTACACACTGCGATCATTTTTACCTCCTGTAAAAAGGACATTGGAAGTCAAAAGGAAAAAAATGCTTACTTACTAGCAGATATAGCCAAAACTAGTTACCAAAAGTGGCCTAATAAAAAGTATATTTTGGCTTACTTATTTGGATTGTATGGATACTCGGCTGTTTCATTTCAGAAAAAAACACTTTTACCACACGACTCTCATGCACTGATCGCATGTCAGTTGTCACATAACAATGTCACACACTCCCTCCAATCCAATGTAAATAACATTTTAAATGAAGTTTTTGCCACTTTTAGTCCTCTCTGACTATTATGTCACTCAAATTTTTGGTACTCGACTTTGATCTTTTCCACTTTTGGTACCTGTCTTTGAAAATTTTCATATTTAGTCCTCTGATTTTGCGTGATTTCTTTTAGTTGGAGGGCGGGTATTCGTGTGACGGATTGATCTCTTATCATCTTTTTACGCTCATCATCTTTTTCTTTCTTGATTTTGTTTTTTTATCCTTTTACCTTTATATATATAGAGAGAGAGTAGCGATCCTGTCAGGCTGTCCGGCCAAGCCTGTTTGGGGTCCTTTAGATGAAATTTTTTGATGATTTTTTAGCATGTTCTTCATCAAGTCTAATTTATACCTACCAAATTTCAGCTTATAATTTAATCGGGAAGACAGTCAAATAAATTATTTACAAACACTCCAATTTAATCGGGACAACGCATTATTTTTCAATTCCACATTTGATTGACTTCCCGATTGAATTTTTAGTTGAAATTTGATGGACATAAACTAGACTTGATGAAGAACATGCTCAAAAAAATTCAAAAAAAAATTTCACCGGGAAGGGCCCTAAATTGCCTCGGCCTGATATGATCTGCGCTATATATATATATATATATATATATATATATATATATATATATATATATATATATATATATATATATATATATATATATATATATATATATATATATATATATTATATATATATATAAATTCTTTTTATCCCTTTTATCCTATCATTTTCATGTAAGAAGTACATCCTATCTCTTTTTATATTATCTTTTTTTGTCATAACTTATTTTTTTATCTTTCTTTTCCTTTTGATTCTAATACCATGTATTGATTCATGTTAGCCGACCTCAATTTTTTTGAGACAAAGGCTTGAATGTTGTTGTTGTAGCCCTACGACTTTCATAAAAGTGACATTTTTGTTCCTTTAACTATTATGACATTTTTAGTCCTTTATTTTTTGTGGCAAAATCATAATTGGACTAAAAATGTGAATTTGATAATGTGGGAAGCTTTGTGGGAAACTCAAGGACTACATGTGAAAAATTTTGAAGTCAAGGATTTAAAGTGTCTCTTGCATAATAGTCAAAGGATCCAAAGTGAAAAAATTGAATGTCGAGTACCCGAGTACCAAAAGCGTCACTGACACAATATTCAAGGGATTGAAAGTGGCAAAAACTCTTTTAAATGAATTCACACAATTAAGAAACAACTTAACAGTTTAATCCTAATATACACTTAGATGTAAGTATTAACGTTAGTGGGAAAAATTATTATAACTAGTGTATTCTCTAAAAAATTGAATTAATCTAGAGAGTAAATTTGGTCAAAAAATGAATGTAAGCCTACATTTGGTTAAACGCCATATATATTGCGAGGAATCACAAGTTCTAAAACATTAATCAGATTGAAACAAAATAGAGTATCAAAATTTAGCAACGTATGTAGAAATTGTGTTTCGTGGGTGCATAGGAATCCTGCAAAAATCTGGTCAGGTGCAAATGTTGTCATTTACTGTCTATCTGCATGCCATGTCAACTACATAGGGTTACCCAACTTAGGAAAGAAAACCGAACCCAGGTTAAAGATGCATCTCAGTACATATGTTTACTATAGTATGAGACATTTAGAGCCCGTTTGTGGGTTGTTTGGCTGAAATTGCGGGACTTCTTAAACAAAAAAGAGTTTCGTAACATCTGTTTTAGCCAAATAAGTGAGTCAAAAACTACTTACTCTGAATATTCTACTTATAAAGTTTGAGAATAGCAGAAAACCCCACTTTTGGCTACCAAATGGAGCCTTATTGAACATCAGAGTGTTTGACAGTGATATTAAATCTGCACACAGAAGAGACACATACCACCAATGTGCAGTGAGAGGGATCCATCTTTTAGTAATGGAGCAGCAGCACTTTTCTGAACATTCTCTATAGACAAGGTAACCAACTCCGGGATATGATCCACACCTACTGCCTGACCTTGTGGTCCAACCATTTGAGCAAAACACGCTGTGAGATATCCAGTACCTGAACGATGACAGACCATTAAAAAACAAGGAATTTTTTAGACAATACCAGTTTTAGATAAAATTTGGAGACACTTGGAGTCCCGCTTATAGACACATTAAGACATATGTAAATGTTAGAAAATAAATTTACTCAACCCTCCTTACACAAATGAGATCTACTGGAAAATGTACTTTCAAGAAATCAAAATCACAAGGTTAACATGAAAAATTATGATTATATATGCCATCAAGCCAGACCATTATGATAAGTGATAGTCTATACTAGGATTACTAGGAGAACAGATTATGTAAACCATGACAGGTTTTTTATCCCACAAAAATTGGTTGCATATTCTTCAGGGGTGTGTTTGGAACCTGGAAAGAAAACAGGGAGGAAAACCGGAGAAGAATAGAGCGGAAAATCTGTTGGAAGTTAATAAAGTCCACTCAAATTCATTTTTATCTTACATACTTATTTATCTTTGTTATCATACCATATCTTTCTTTTCCTTTTGGATCTAATATCATGATATCATCTATTGATTCATGTTAGCCGACCCCAAAATCTTTTGGGACTAAGGCTTGGATGTTGTTGTGTTGTATTTCCATTAAATGAAGAATGGGAGTCTAGGAAATCTAATAAATAAAAGTTAACAAAAACTAATCATATTTTATTCATTATCCTAACACATTTCAGGACCCGAGCATAGCCTAGAAGAATGTGAACTTTGTGATTTGTACCTGAACCAACATCTAAGGCACGCATGCCTGGTTGCAACCTATCCTTCAACAATTCGAGACACAATGCATGCATGTGAGGTGCTGAGATAGTGACATTATAGCCTATACTCATTGGGCTGTCAAAGTAAGGTGGTGTGTCCTTGGGCACAAACAAAGCCCTATCAATACTTTGCATTACTTTTGCCACGTCCTCTGATTTGATTACACCAATACTCTTCAACTGATTAATCATTCCCCTGTTTCCACTCAAGGTGCTTTCAGTACTATAGAATCGCTGTGGATAAAAACATTAGTGCAATATTACATTTCACATTTCCTAATTTAATTCTTAAATTAAAATTCATACTACACTTGGAAGATAACACACACGTGAGATTTAGCTAGTACAGTCCATCAGATAATGAGCTAACTTATCAAACAAACAAATCGCATTAGTGTGACTTTAGGGTAAACCAATCAGCATACCAAATCGCATTCCTGTATGCAATGGAAAAACTTTAAGTAAAATGTTCTTGGTTAAAAAATCATGAAAGTATAAAATTTATAAGTTTGGCAAAAGTATATTAGTTAAAATGGTGAGGAAAGTTTACAATGGAGGTAGTGTGACTTTAGGGAAACCAATATCACTTCCCGGTACACCAGGCATTCAGTTTAATGGTTGAAAAGACATGAAGTAAACGAAAAACGACTTCTGTACACCATTCCTTTTTATACATCACTCGCAAAAACTTTCAAATAATTTGTGCTCGATTCGCGATTCAAATTCATATAAGACAATTCGAATTCGAAAAATTCAAATACAAATACAAATAAGAATATTAAATTTGATTCGAGTTGTTATCAAATACAAATAAGAATATCAGTGTATTCGATTCGAATATTAATCAAATATATTCGATTAATAATAATGATAATATTAATAATAATAGTAATAACACTATAATAACTTTTAAAAGATAGCAATACCCTCAAAGTGTAGCCCATATATACATTTATGCATAAAGATTCCAAGTCTGGCCATTTGTAATAAATCAGAATATAAATACGAACACAAATAAAAAATTTGGTTCAATTGTCTTTCAGATACAATACAAATAATTATGTATTCGATTTGAAAAATAAAATTAGAGTCGTTTGACTTTGATATATACAATTATCAACTTATTTCACACATTATAAGTATAATTTCTAATATGTGTGTGTTAGTGTTTATTTCAAAATGTTTGAAATAGATTTATATTTATTAATCATAAAATTGATTCACTTCGGTATATTGTGCACAATCTAAAAATGCATTGATCCATTAAATTTAAATTCTAAAAACACATATTAAGTCATAGCATGTATTTACAACATAAAAATATATAAGAAAAGACGAAAGTTATTTTAAAGTGATATTTGATTACTATTTAACTTATGCTCAAATCGATTCGATATTCGTTTATGATTTGTTAACTATTCGTATTGTTAAACAAATACAAATCGAAATTAATATTCGTTTCATATTTGAATTTGTATTCAAAAAATTAAACAAATACAAAATCCCGCTATTCGATTGGATTCGGTTTGTTTACACCCCTAAATATAATTAGGATAGTGCGTTACGAGCAAGCTGTTGATGGGGAATAAAAGTACGTACCTCCATGGCAGAGATGAGAGAGTTATCCGTGAAGAGGTTGGGCGCCGGGAGGCGGTAGGACGATGAGACGAGAGCGAAAGCAGGAAGTGTGGGGTTGGGAAAGAGGTAGCCGGTGAAGAAGGGTAAAAGATGTCGCCTGATTGGCGCACGATAGCGACGAGCGAACGTCACTGCTGAGTAGGAGTGAGGCAGCATCCTCTGTTCGTCTTTCTCGCACAAAAAATACTTTTTCTGAGTAAATGACAGAATTATTGGTTGAAGTGGTTCAACATATTTGCCAAATATGTTCAGTATTTGCAAAAAGAAAAAAATATCTATCTGGACATATTTGCCAAATATGTCAGTCTTCCTATTAGTCAAATTTTGGTTCAAGTTTAAAATATGTTTGGATCACATTAAAATAAGATATTCCCAACATATTTGCCAACTATGTCGGTCTTCCTATTGGTCAAAAATATGGGGCGCGGATCACCAGCTGAAGGGTGTGGATTGATTCGATCTATTTGAGCAGATTTACGAATCTGTTGTAATAAATTAATATATTTCTCAACATATTTGGTGAATATGTCTGTGCTCCTATTGGTCAGAATAAGGTGGTTCGGATTGCCAATTACTCAACATGTTTGCCAAACCTGCTCTATAAAATCCACCACAAACCTCACCTCACAACCTCATCTCACGGTTCCAATCTGTCTTCTAACTTCTCCAAATTTTGGCCATCTCCTTCATCTTAACCCAAGTAAGTTCTTCTTTAATATTTTTAGTTTAATTTAATTTGTTACTTTATAAAAGTAGGAATGAAATTAATTAACGTTAAGTAATTTAACATTAAGTTATATCTTCTCCAAATTAGTTAACGTTATGTTACTTTAGGCCAACTCCTTCTCCAAATTTATTAATAATGTAATTAAGTTTTTCCAATTTAATGGTTAATTTAGGTAATAATTAAAGTTAGTAATTTAGGAATGAAATTATTCTATAATAGTGTTAATTTGTAATTGTGAATTAGGAACCTAAACAAAAAAAGTGAAATAGGAAACTTGCGAAATTTTAGTTTATTTACCAAATATGAAAGATTAGTGTTACTTTACCAAATATGTATGTATAAATTTAGTAATATGCATGCTAACCTTTTTGGAAAATTTTGTCCACCTTTAGTTTAAAGTTTGTAGTAATTTTTCCTATTTTGGTGTAGAAATTAGTCTATAAGTTGTGATAATTAACGAAAAATTAATGTATAGTATTAGTCTATAGTTAACGAAATATGTTGTTTTTTAATTAGGTGTATTTATTTGTATTACAAATTGTATTATAAGTAGTGTTGTTTAATTACATATATAATTTGTATTATAAATAGTGTTGTTTAATTAAATTTGTAATTACGCACAAAGTATTACAAATAGGAGTGTTGATTTGGAATTAATTTAATAATATACTTTTAGGTTTTCATGGCTACACAAAGAGAGCACCCCCATCCCGGGCCCATAAAACGTTCTGTATTGGTAATGAAACCTGGAGAACATCGTGCCGATAATGTGTGGAAAACTGAAGAGTCGAGAGACCTAAAATTGAGGTGCATTACTTACCCCAAATCCGCCAAAGACGATGGCGAACGTGATCCTAGAGTCGTACAACTGCTGAGTAAATCAGGCTTTCAAGGAGCTGAACGAGTAGTACAAATCAAAATTGATCACGTCTTATCACTGCATTGGTTGAGAGGTGGAGACCAGAAACACATTCTTTCCATTTACCTTTTGGCGAGGTCGGCATTACCTTGCAAGATGTACAGGTGCTGCTGGGGTTACCGATTGATGGTCTCCCACTTACTGGTCCGACGGCACATAGTAAGACTGAATGGGTCCAAATGTGTGATGATTATCTTGGTTTCATACCATTTGAAAAAGATATAATATCATCCAACAGCATTAGAAATCTAGCCATTCAGCGCTTTTTGTTGTCACCGTGGAGCACTGACATTGAAGTTATTCAACATACTAAAACGTTGATTTGGCAGTTGCTCAGTGGGTTGTTGTTCCCTAGCACTTCCGGTAGAGCGTCACTTTACTTTCTTGAGTTGTTGCATGACAATGTAGAGAACTTGACTAGGTGGAGTTGGGGCTCAGCTGTGTTGGCATTTCTGTACCACAACTTATGTGAAGCGGCGAAGGCGGACACATCTTCGATTGGAGGATGTTTAATCCTTTTACAACTTTGGGCATGGGAGAGGTTGCCAATGGTTCGACCCCAACGGGTTCTTCCACTGCATGCAATATTTGATTTGCCCTATGGTGCTAGGTAAGCTTCATTGACATAATATATTACATTGTGCTGTATTATGGTTTTTATGATTTGTCTTATAATTCGTTAAATTTAGGTGGGCTTGTGCACATAACTGGGTCGACTCTAGCAGATTCACTCTTCGCATTTATAGGGACCAGTTTGACCGATTAAGCGAGTCGGAGGTAAAATTTAAATTTATTTAATATAATACTTTTATATATATATTTTTACTAATATGGAACAATTTTTTTGCACAGTTTGAATGGACACCTTACCCGCTTACTAGTCTTCCAGCTTTTTGCACTCGTGCATTTGATCTGTGGGCAACTAAAGCTCCACTTATTTATTGTTCATATTTTGAGGCACACTATCCTGGTAGATTTTGTCGTCAATTCGGTGCAGTCCGGGATATACCTAGGAGCGTGACTCATAACGACCGTCACCAGCGTCAATTCGGTGCAGTCCAGGCACCATTGTTGACCTACGAACAGACCAAACCGATACACAAGGTACGTATGAATTTAAGTACGCTTTTTGGTCAATCAAGGCAGCGATTGATGGTTTCAATCATTGTCTTCCGGTCATTTCCATTGATGGTACACATTTGTACGGTAAGTACAAAGGCACTTTGTTGGTCGCGGTGGCAATGAATGCTAACCGTGAAATCTTTCCTCTAGCTTTTGGGGTGGTAGATAGCGAAAACGGGGATAGTTGGACGTGGTTTTTACAGTTAGTTGCGACAAATATTATTCCTCCGCGTCGGAATGTTTGCATAATATCTGACCGACATGTCGCGATTGATTGTGCGTTCCAGAATGTGCCACAATTGGGAACACCTCTAATTCAGAGGCGATATTGTCTTCGACACATTCGAAGTAATTTTATGTCCCAATTTCGAAGCAAGAATCTCAAAAAATTGTGTTGGCGTGCCGGAAGTACTCCCATTCTAAATGAATTTACTAACTACATGCAACAAATACGGGGTGCTAATGAAAGAGCATTCAACTATCTTGATGCCATTCCTAAAGAGAAGTGGGCACTTTGTTTTGATGGTGGATGTCGTTATGGAATTTTAACGACCAATCTATCTGAAAGTTTTAACCATGCCCTAAAAGGATGTAGAACGCTTCTGATTACAGCACTTGTGAGAGCAACTTTCGATAAATCTGTTCAGCTCTTTGTAGAACGACGTAATGCTGGTATGATGTGGAATCAAAGTGGATATCAATTTCCGGAAAAAATCCGGAAGCAGATTATGGATGGATGGCAACAAAGGCGTCACACTGTTGTAATCCCGCACAATTATCACAGTGGAGTTTTCTCAGTAGCCATAGAAAATGCAACTCCGGTTACGGTAGATTTTTCAAGGAGCGACTGTGATTGTGGCTGCTGGAGGATGAACTGGATGCCATGCAGCCACGTGCATGCTGTGTGTCACTTCCTCGACCGCCCTGTCAATCAACTTATTCCGGAAGTCTATAAACTGACCTCTTACATTAATGCACATGCTAGTGATATTATGCCTTTACCAAATATGAATGAGTGGCCTGATATTGGGATCCATCTTTTACCGCCAAAATATTTATCACGAACTTCTCGAGTGGGGCGTCGTCAAGAAACGAGGTTTCAAAATGAGATGGATATGCGTCCAAGCAGAAGAAGAGGACAACAATGATTTCATGTATTTTTAATATTTCAGCGTTTTTAATAATTTCTTATGAAGGAATTGTACTTTTTAAGTTTTTAATAACAAGTTGTTTCTTATCATTTCAATAAATATTTCAATTCAGAATATATAAATTTTCATTTCAGTAGATTGTAGTGTATAATTTTCGTGAAATGTGGGAAGAAATAAATAAAGCATTGTTAACTAAATCTATTCAAACCTCTTTTTTTTTTCGGAAATCGTTTAACATATTCACCAAATATGTTGCTTGATTTTTTTTAATCGAAAACTGTTGAACATATTCGCCAAATACGTTCACTGACTTCTTCTTTTTTTAAATAGAAATCCATTGAACATATTCACCAAATATGTTCTCTGACTTCGATCTTTTTTAATAAAAATTCAGAGATATCTATTGAACATATTCACCAAATATGTTGAGTCTTTGGAATGGTCTGCAGACCAGAATCTACACCATTTGGAATGGTCTGCAAAGATCCTACCCTGTTTCGTCAATCACCCTACTTTTTCTATCCACTATTTATTTGTCATACACACTTTTACACATACTTTTACACATGTTTATGTAGAATCTCTTTGTTTGAACCGACAAAACGTGTTTTGTCACCAAACTCTTTCCTTTTGGATAAGGCCCAAAACCCAAAGATGAGTATAATTCAACGGATGACCATCATTAATCTCTCTTCAGTGAGAGGTCTTTGATCCAATTCTCACCTTAGGGTGATGAGAGAGGTCGTGCTCTCCATGGTTCTCCTTACTTTCACGGAGTAGTTCAGCGAGTCAATGGTCGAGAAGTGAAAGAATGTTAATGAAGCCAACAAGTTCGTGTGGTGGGAGGAGTAGCTTGGAAGGGAATGTAATGTAAGTCAGTTGCATGCATCTTTTGGAGCCAGTACGGCAGTACCGATGAGGACTGACTGCGATTAGATCTGAATTTATTTGTCTACGGACTTTGGAGGATAATTCATAAACTCCAAAATTATGGGAGCGTATACTCATATTATAAAAAAAGGAAAGAAATGCTAGTGAAGGTTGGTGTGGCCAGGGGCGGTCCTGCCCATTTCCGGGCATATGGAGATTGCACTATTTTAGACTTATATCCGAGTAAACAATAAATTATACTTATGTACAATATTTATAAAACTATTTCATAAATAAATATAAAAAAATATTATTTAATTTACATATTTGGGCAAAAGTAACAACATAAGTATGACATGAATAAAAAGAAAAAAAAAATTACATAAAACGTTTCTCGCAAAAAAAAATATGAAACAAAATCATTAATAACCACTACATAAACGACATTTTCTAATAAAACTATTACAAATGATAAAGGGATTTTTGGATAAATAAAACACATTACTTAATAATATATGAAATTTTATGTATGCAATAGTGGACCGGATGAAAACTGCCCACATCGTTTACAAAAACTATCGAGGATGATAAAGGAATATAAATTTCACAATGACATACGAATATCAATTTAACAAGATAACAAAATTGCCACACACAAGAGTATATAAGACTGCATTTGGGCCTCCTTGTTTCCGCATAGACTACTCTTTTGCAGCGTTCTTTCGCGCAAGAAGCTATTGCCAATTTGATGTCCTGTAAAACTTTTATTAGAAACTCAAATATTGTCTATTGATCAATTTGTTCGAAATTAGAATTTGGAAACAGTTGGGATAAGATTTGGGAGGTCGGGTTGCATAAAAACAATAGTATAAATTTGTGATTTTGTAATTATAAGGGAAACAAAGCCTCAGAGGCTTAAGATATGTGAAAAGGCACGTCTTTCATTGTTTCCGCAACATTGAGTAGGTTCATTAATGGGGTTGCTCTCTTCGAATACCCCTTGATGAACCGTCGGTAATAATTGATTAAACCAAGGGAAGAACGTAATTCGGTTACCTTGGTCGGCGCCTCTCATTCCACAATTGCCTTGATCTTGGCCATATCCATCATGAGCTTCCCATGCCCAATAATGTGACCAAGAAAATGTATTTCCCCCCGAGGCAAACGTGCACTTCTCCCTTTTCACATAAAGCTCGCACTCTCGGAGTACTCGAAAGATAATGCGTAGGTGTTCCACATGCTCCTCCATTGAGTTGCTATGAACCATGATATCGTCCAAGAAAACCACCACGAACCGGTCCAAATAAGGTTGGAAGATCTTTTTCATGAGTGAACAGAACATTGTCGGTGCATTGATTAGTTCAAAGGGCATGACTAAACATTCGAAGGAGCCATAACATGTAACACGTGCAGTCTTCGGCTCATCCCCTTCCGCTATTCGTACTTGGTAGTAACCATTTTGTAGGTCCATCTTCATATATATCTTGGCTCCACCAAGTCTATCAAAATAGATCAGCAATCAAAGGGATATGATAGCGGTTCTTGATAGTAACCTTATCCGGCGCCCGATGGTCCACGCAAATGTTCCCATCATGCTTCTTCCGGAATAGCATCGGTGTGCCATAAGGTGCCTTCGACAGTCTCATCTTCCCGTTCTCTAACAGCTCATCGAGTTGGCAACGTAGCTCCTCGAGCTCACTTGGGGACATACGATAGGGTGCCATTGCAGGCGGTTTAGCACCCGGTTCCAACTCGATCTTGTGGTCCACCTCCCTCCTAGGTGGTAATTTGTCATACGGCTTTGCCGGCATCACGTAAGTATGCTAAAGCCATATCATGGGGGCGAGGAAGACCCAAGTCGGGGGTTATCAAGAGTTAAAGACAAGCACCACCCGTAGTCACTAAGTCTTAGGACAAAGAGATTGAAGACATGCTCGCAACAAAGGAGGCTCGGAAGAGGGGTGTTCCACACAACTCATTACTTGATTAATGGTTCTACTTAAAATTAGTGCATATTCTTTTTTAAACTTGGCTCCATTTTTGTATAGAAAAACTTGGCTCTGCTCGGGACTTTTCACTTATATTCTAAAATTTTGAACCTAAAAAAAGTCAGCTCACACTATATATAAAGTGAGAGCATGGGCCGCTCCGGCTGGTAAGCCGGGAGCGGCAGGACGCTCTTTTGCTGAAGTGAGAACGATGCTAACGTGAGAACGTGAGAACACTCACATTTAAATAAATGTGATGCACAATGGAGCTTTTCTGTTGCACATTTTCAATTTGCTCAAATTAAGCCTATATTAAATAAACAAGGTGGCATTTTGGTAATTATTGTGAAAATGCGAAAAAGTGCACTATACAAGCTTTATTGTGCAACACGTTGGGGTAAATGTGGTGTTCTCACGTTAAGCATTATTCTCATTTGATCTTTATTCTACACACACACAAATACATACATACATATATATA